TCTGACAGTCTCTCTCCTCAAGATTGGTCAGGTGGGGTCCTGTTATAAGAATGTTCCTCCAGGAAGTGGCACTGTGGTTCCAAGTGGTAGAACACTAGCCTTGAGCTGAAGAGCTGAGGGACAGTGCTCAGGCCCAGAGTTCAAGCCCCATGACCAACAAAACAAAAAACAAAACAAAAAAAGCCCTTCATTCTTATGGGCTGAGAAGGTGGCTCAGCAGTAGAGTGCTTGCCTTGCATGCATGAGGCCCTGGGTTTGATTCCTTAGCACCACATAAGCAGAAAAAGGAAGTGGTGCTGTGGCTCATGTGGTAGAGCACTAGCCTTAAGCTGAAAAGCTCAGGGGCAGCGCCCAGGCGCAGAGTTCAGGCTCCACGACCAAACAAACAAAACAAAAAAGAGTGTTCCTCCACTTTCCACTCATTTGTTATCAGCATCATTGGCACTTGGCAGGTGGTCTGGTCTTCCTGGCTTCCAAGATGGCTATTTAGTGCTGGAGGAAAGGACGGCTGAGGCTAAAGGACATAAATACAAAATCAAGGAGGCTGTGAGGCCTGCATTTTATCCTGTTTTTAGTTAAATTACAGTTCCAAGTTAGGAGTCAGTGTTTCTCAATAAAAGCAACTATTAAGGCCCACCTACAGGGAATCTGAGGCAGGAGGATTCTGAGTTCAAGGCCAGCCTAGGCTACATAGTCAGGACCTACTTGTGAATGAATGAGTGAATGAATAAAAATTCAGAGGCTTCAGGCTCCATTAAAGATAGTGAATTGTTGGATTCAAGCAAAGCCAAGTTGGATCTAACTAGTTAGGAAGACTAAAAATAGGATACAAGGGCTAGGGAAATAAGAAATAGAAAAATTAATTTTTTGTGTGTTTGTAAGCAATTGTAACATAAAATGAATGAGACAAAGTATGAATATAAGAATGTGATAAATAAGCTGGATGTGGTGGCTCATACCTGCAATATTAGCACTAGCAGATCTGAGACAAGGCTCTTGAGTCTGAAGCTAGCCTGGGTTGTACAGTAAGATCTTCAAGTTAAAAAAAAAAATTGAGAAATAGTGAAAAAGAAATAACATTTAATGGCGTAGGCTTTTTCCCCTCCTGTTTTTTTTTTGTTGTTGTTGGCCGTGGGGCTTGAACTCTGGGCCTGGGTGCCGTCCCTCAGCTCTGCAGCTCAAGGCGAGCACTCTACCACTTGAGCTACAGTGCCACTTCCTGTTTTCTGGTGGTTTATTGGAGATAGGAGTCTCACTGTCTCTCCTGCTCGGGCTGGCTTTGAACCGCGATCCTCAGATCTCAGCCTCCTGAGTAGCTAGGATTACAGGCGTGAGCCACCAGCACCCGGCCTCCCCTCCTGTTTTTACTATTGCAAATTAATTGTACAAAAGGGTTTCCCTGTGATTTCCCATAAATACATATAATTTGATAATAATTGACCAATTAGTCTTTTCACTTCCCTCTTTTAAAACAAATTTTAACTAGCATGTAGGTTTTGGGTTTTTTAATTTTTTAAAAATTTTATTGTCAAGGTGATTACAGAGGGGTTACAGTTACATAAGCAAGGTAGTGAGTACATTTCTTGTTGAACTTGTTATCCTCTCCCTCATTTTTCTCCCACTTTCCCTCCTCCCTCCAAACCGCCCCCCCCCCCTCCCCAGCAGAACTGGGAATTAGACTCATGGCCTAGCCTAACTGGGCTTCACACTTCCTAAACAAAGGCCTCTACCATTTGAGACACAAACCCACTAACAGTGATTCTATTTTCATACACACAATATTCTTTGATCATACTCCTTCTGTTTTGGCTCTGATCCCCATCAGCTGTGCCCCCTGAGTCCCCACTTGCCTTCACACCCTTTTTCATGTCTAGATTCACCAGACTGAGACAGGATTTGGAGGAGTTTGTTTGTTTCAGAGATGAGGACTGAACTCAGGGCCTTGCATTTGCCAGGCAAAAGTTCTTCCACTGAGCTAAATCCCCAACCCCAATTTTAAGGTCTTTGTTTATACCAGTACTAGGAGTTGAACTAACAGCTTATTTTCTATCCTTCTCCCATGCCTGTTGTTCTACCACTCGAGCCATGTCTTTTTTTTGGGTCCGGTTGTGGGGCCTGAACTCTGGGCCTGGGCGCTGTCCCTCAGCTCTTCAGCTCAAGGCTAGCACTCTACCACTTGAGCCACAGCGCCACTTCTGGCTTTTTTTCTTTTTGCTTATGTGGTGCTGAGGAATCGAACCCAGGGCCTCATGCATGCAAGGCAAGCGCTCTACCACTGAGCCACCTTCCCAGCCCTGAGCCATGTCTATAGTTGAGCATTTTTGCTGATTAATTGGAGATAAGGCCTTGCAGACCTTTCTGCTTGGGTTAACTTTGAACTAATCTGGATCCTTCAGATCTCAACTCCTGAGTAGCTAGGATTGTAGTCATGAGCCACCAGCAATGGGCTGGTGTGGAGGTTTTGGTGAGCTGAAAATAGGTTACTATAAGACCAAAGGAAAAAAAGTGATGGTCACTGAGATGGAGGCCTGAACCAGAGTTTTCAGAGATATGTGGTTACCAGCAATAGGAAAGGCAGCAATTTGTCACATCGTAGAAAGGATGGGGGTGTGAAACACTAAAATGGGATATAGAAGGGCAGATCATTGGAGAATGAGGAGGTAAGCAATGACAACATACTACCATCCTGTGTTAGATGAACAGTAAAGGAGGAAACAAACAATGAATTAGTACTGAGACAGAAATCATGTATAAATGGCCTAAAAAGGAAAAAACAGGGGTTAGGAGTGGTTCAGTGGCAGGGTGCTTAATTAGCTCTGTGTGTGTGTGTGTGTGTGTGTGTGTGTCGCGCGTGCCAGTTCTAAGGCTTGAACTCAGAGCCTGGGTGCTGTTTCTGAGTTTTTTTGCTTGAAGCTAGCTAGCACTCTTAACTCCTGAGCCACAGGTCCATTTCTGTCTTTTTGGTGGTTAATCAGAGATGAGTCTCACTGACTTTCCTACTCCAGCTGGCTTAGAGCAGAGATGCTTAGATCTCCTGAGTAGGTACCATTACAGGCATGAGCACCACTAGCACTTTTAATTAGCTTTTGTGAGGCTTGGGGTTCCAAGACTCAAAGGCACACTGGAGAATAGAAAGAAGATGGATTTCACATGGATATTTTAATATTCTAACAAAAAATCCTTAGTTCATAAAGTGTTAAATGTGAGTGGAATTAACAAAAAAACCCTCTTGTGATTTGCGATTGTAAATTATTACTTTATAGACACATACAAGGAGTTTTGGTAGTTTATTAGAGATGAGAGTCTTGTGGACTTTCCTGCCTGACCTAGCTTTGAATGGCCATTCTCAGATCTCAGCTCCTGAGTAACTAGGATGATCATTGGTGCAGCACCAAGCTTTGGTTTAGGTTTTTTTGTTGCTGTTGTTTTGTTCTTTTTTGTTGTTGTTGTTGTCCGTCATGGGGCTTGAACTCTGAGCCTGGGCACTGTCCCTGTGCTCTTCAGCTCAAGGCGAGCACTCTACCATTTGAGCCACAGTGCCACTTCTGGTTTTCTAGTGGTTTATTGGAAATAAGAGTCTCTTGGGCTGGGAAGGTGGCTCAGTGGTAGAGTGTTTGCCTTGCATGCCTGAGGCCCTGGGTTCGATTCCTCAGCACCACATAAGCAAAAAGAAAAAAAACCGGAAGTGGCGCTGTGGCTCAAGTGGTAGAGCGCTAGCCTTGAGCTGAAAAGCTGAGGGACAGAGTCCAGTCCGAGTTCAGGTCCCACGACCGGACTCAAAAAAAAAAAAAAAAATGGAAATAAGAGTCTCACTGAGTTTCCTGCCCGGGCTGGCTTTGAACCGAGCTCCTCAGATCTCAGCCTCCTGAGTAGCTAGAATTACAGGCTTGAGCCACCGGCACCTGGCTTGGTTTAGGTTTTAATATATAAAAAAAGATTTTTCAGCCAGGCACAGATGACTCACACCTTTAATCCTAGCTAAAGGAGGCTGAGATCGAGGATAGCAGTTCGAAGCCAGCCCGGAGCAGAAAACTCCGTGAGACTCTTATTTCCAATTAGCCATTAGAAAACCTCCAGTGGCACTACGGCTCAAAGTGGAAGAGCTCTAGCCTTGAGCGAAAAGGCTCAGGGACAGTGCCCGAAGGTCTGAGCTCAGGCAAAAAAAAAGTTCTTTTGTTTTCAACAGAGTGTACTCATTCAAGCCTAATACTAAGTTTATACAACTAGTACAACAAATGTGCTCCTTTGGGCTTTCTAAATAAAATCGGTACCAGTGTATGGGAAAGCGGAGTAACTTTTCTCTAATTTCATTGACCTATCATGAAGTAGGGTAAAATGTCAGGCGTTAAATTTGTAACTTTGGCCGGTCTTCGGTGGCTCTCGACTGTAATCCTAGCTACTCAGGAAGCGGAGATCTAAGGACCGCCCAGGCAGGAAACTCCGTGAGACTCTAATCTCCAATAAACGACTCAGAAAGCCCCAAGTGGTGTTGTGGCTCAAGTGGTAAGAGTGCTGGCCTTGAGCTGAAGAGCTGAGGGACAGCGCCCAGGCCCAGAGTTCAAGCCCCACAACCGACCCAAAAAAAAAAAAAAAAGTAACTTTGAAATGGAGAACATCTGGGCAGAAATAGTATAATGCTCCCAAAGGCAATTAACAAAACAATAACTAAAAAAAAAAGTAAGAGAGCTCCTCTAGCCTCCCAGAGCTGATGGGGTTTTGGCTATTTGCTCCCACGGGAAAAATTGCCCTGGCGTGCCCATTCAAATTTCTCCCAGCAAATCACAGTGGCCTATACTCAATTCCTTCTCCGCTCATTGGTTAACGGGAAACTTCAGCTCCGCCTCACCGCCCACCTCTTACCAGGGAGCCAATAGGAAAGGCTTGCAGTTCGTGACTAAATGTCATCAAGTACGGTACTTGCAATTGGCTCATGGAGTTGTCCATCGAGTAGTAGGCGGGACCGTACCAAGCTGGCCTATATAAGGAGAGGACAAAGGCGGCGCGCCGCTTGTGTCATCCGCCATTTTGTGTGAGACAAGGTGGCCTCCACGTTCCCTGCACGTCTTCTCCGCTTCTGCCTCGACCGCCCCTTGACCACAGACATGTCTCGGGATCGGTTCCGGAGTCGCGGCGGTGGCGGTGGCGGCTTCCACCGGCGCGGAGGCGGCGGCGGTCGTGGAGGCCTTCACGACTTCCGCTCCCCGCCGCCAGGCATGGGCCTGAACAAGAACCGCGGCCCAATGGGCCCGGGCCCAGGAGGCCCCAAACCTCCGATCCCGCCGCCGCCTCCGCACCAGCAGCAACAGCAGCCGCCACCCCAGCAGCAGCCGCCGCCACAGCAGCCACCGCCGCACCAGCAGCCGCCGCCGCACCAGCCGCCCCATCAGCAGCCGCCGCCGCCGCCACCGGACGCCTCTAAACCGGTCGGTCCACAGGGGCCCGGCCCCGCGCCGGGAGTAAGCAGCGCCCCGCCGGCCGCGGGCTCGGCCCCGCCAGCCACCCCTCCGGCCACCGGCGCCCCGCCAGGGCCTGGCCCTACCCCGACCCCGCCGCCTGCGGTCACCTCGGCCCCTCCCGGGGCGCCTCCGCCCGCGCCGCCGAGCAGCGGGGTCCCGACCACTCCTCCTCAGGCCGGGGGCCCGCCGCCGCCTCCCGCAGGGGGTCCGGGCCCAGTGCCTAAACAGGGTCCAGGACCTGGCGGCCCCAAAGGCGGCAAAATGCCTGGTGGGCCGAAGCCCGGCGGTGGCCCGGGCCTGAGCACGCCTGGCGGCCACCCTAAGCCTCCGCACCGAGGCGGCGGGGAGCCCCGTGGCGGCCGCCAGCACCACCCCCCCTACCACCAGCAGCACCACCAGGGCCCCCCTCCCGGCGGGCCCGGCGGCCGCAGCGAAGAGAAGATCTCCGACTCGGAGGTGAGTGTCTCCCGGAGCGACGCGGTCGTCCGTTCCCCTAAGATGGCGGCGCCCCCATCCCCCCCGGGCGCCGCGCGGGCTTCCATTTTGTCGGCGGCCGGAAGGCGGCTGCGCGTGCTCGCGTGCTTGCGGGGGTGGGGCGGGGTGGCGGGGGCCTCCAGGCAGCCCGGGATTGGCCGCCGGCGCCCCGGGCTTTGGGGCTAGCGGCTAGCGGCTGGCGGGTCCGGAGCGCCGAACCTCGGGGAAGGCCTTGGAAACCGGAACTCTGGCTGGTGGAGAGATGATGTTTGGTACGAGAGGACCGGGCAATTCCGGCCTTCTTTTTTTGACTCCTGTTGGTGCTTGTGAAGAATTCGATCGTGCAAACAGTTCATAGCCGATGGCAATAAATTCTACCGAGTAGTCATTTGTGTGTATTTTCAAGAGCGTTTTGGACGATTAGGCTTCTTTTTTGGTGATTGGCTTAGCGATGATGGAAATTTCCCAAATTCAGCAAACCTGGTTTTTGACTTTAAATGGAACAAAAAAGCAGTCGATGTTCTAGAAAGGCAAAAATGAGTTTTGGGTTTTGAACTTGTCGTTGGTGTCTGAAAATTCTCTTCCTCCCTTTAGGGATTCAAAGCCAACTTGTCTCTCTTGAGGAGACCTGGAGAGAAAACGTACACACAGCGTTGTCGATTGTTTGTTGGGAATCTACCTGCTGATATCACAGAGGATGAGTTCAAAAGACTGTTTGCTAAATACGGAGAACCAGGAGAAGTTTTTATCAATAAAGGCAAAGGATTCGGGTTTATTAAACTTGTGAGTGCAATTGTTTGGTTTTATACACAACTAAAAAGCGAGAGTCTTTTGTCTTATGCAAAGGCTTGGCTTTAAACCAGGAAGGATAAAATGGTATTCAAACTTTTAGTCATTCTTACAGAAAATTATACCTGCTACATAGTTTGTAATTGTAAATAACCCAATAAGAGGGTGAGTGTAGAGGTAGGAGATTATACTGTGTGTGGATGGGGGAGGTAGTTGATAGTATAGGGGAGGAGGTGGTAATTTATGATACTATTAGGCAGTTTTGGAGTTGTTAATGTGAGTGTCCAATGTTTACAGGAATCGAGAGCCTTGGCTGAAATTGCCAAAGCTGAACTTGATGATACACCCATGAGAGGTAGACAGCTTCGGGTTCGCTTTGCTACTCATGCTGCTGCCCTTTCTGTTCGAAATCTTTCACCTTATGTTTCCAATGAACTGTTGGAAGAAGCCTTTAGCCAATTTGGTCCGATTGAAAGGGCTGTTGTAATTGTGGATGACCGCGGAAGATCTACAGGGAAAGGCATTGTTGAATTTGCTTCTAAGCCAGCAGCAAGAAAAGCATTTGAAAGATGCAGTGAAGGTGTTTTCCTACTGACAACGTAAGTTGTCTTTAATTGATTCTAATAATTTCTTATTAATTTGAAGATGTTGCAATAAAACTAGAACAAAGTTAAGGTTGGAACCATTTTTGTTATTAGAACTCCTCGTCCAGTCATTGTGGAACCACTTGAACAACTAGATGATGAAGATGGTCTTCCTGAAAAACTTGCACAGAAGAATCCAATGTATCAGAAGTAAGATTGATTAAACTTTCTGGTAGCTTTTAATGTGCATGCAAAGAACTCAGTGTAGTAGTTGTACAATTTTGCTTATATTACTGCAATTTTTTATATGAATATTCCTTAAAATTTATTTTTATACATGCTTAGTAAAAATCTTAAGCTTGTCTCTGGTGCTCATGGTGGTAGCCTAGCTGCTTAGAGGTTGAGATCTGAGGATCACAATTTGAAGCCAGCCTGGGCAGGAAAGTCGATTATCTCTAGTTAACTACCAAAAAAGCCGCAAGTATGTCAGGCACTGCTGGCACGGTCCTGCAATCCTAGCTACTCAGGAGGCTGAGATGTGAGGATCATGGTTCAAAGCCAGCCCAGGCAGGAAAGTCTTAAGAGAGACTCTTCCAATGAATTACTCAGCTGAAAGTGGTGCTGTACCTCTAATGGTAAAGTGTTAGCCTTGAGCAAAGAGCTCAGGGACAGTACCCAGGCTCTGAGTTCTTGCTCTTTGACCAACCGTGCTAATCTTGAGGTTCCTTCCCGCTCCCCCTAAATGAATTGGAAGTGGAGTTGTAGCCCAAGTGGTAGAATGCTAATCTTGAGGCCCCACCTCCCCCCCCCCCCCCCAAAAAATTAACCCACAAAATTCAATGACAGTATGTACCCGGGCCCTGAGGTCAAGCTTCAACTTTGCTACCAAAAGCAAAGAAAAAGCCTCAAGCTCAGAAAGTTAGAATTTATGAATATCATTCAAGGGACTTTCTGAAATTGTCCCGTTAAATGCTTTAACAGTTGCATGAGATGTGCTTTTTATGGATCGGAGATTTGCCTCGGTAGGGAGTTGGGTTAGAGAAAATAAAGAAGGTAGAATTTATTCTCCCTTAGTTTGTCACTGTGTCTTAATTTTGTTTCTCATTTTGGTGCTACTGGGCAAGCAAGTACCCCTTGAGCCCAACCCTCCAGCACTGTATCGTTTATTTGAAACTACATCTTGATTTCTTACGAAGATGTCATTCCTTCTTAGTGAATATTCCTTTTTAAGTTGGTGTGGTTTAGGTTACATACATTTTTTGGTTGTATGTATTTAGAAAGTAGGAAGAACAATATGGGAAAATAGGCACAATGGTGTAAGGCTTGTAAAGTGTGGACAGATGAGGTTGAAGAGGTCATAAGTGGGTTTTTGTTTTTTTTTTTTTTTTTTTTGGTCTGGTTGTGGGGCCTGAACTCTAGGCCTGGGCACTGTCCCTCAGCTCTTCAACTTAAGGCTAGCACTCTACCACTTGAGCCACAGCACCACTTCTGGCTTTTTTTTTTCTGCTTATGTGGTGCTGAGGAATCCAACCCAGGGCCTCATACATGCAAGGCAAGTGCTCTACCACTGAGCCAACTTCCCAGCCCTAATTGTGTTTAAATTGACAAGAATGGGTTGTTTACAAAGGTAATCTGGTAATCTGAGACTACGATCAAGGGGTGTGATATGTTCATAATTCATAAATCATTCTTGGAATACTGTTGTTACTATGGAGTTACTTCATGTGCGCCAAGGTGGTTATTTACCTTTTGTGCTCTTTATATGAACGAGGTATAGTCTAGAACCCAAGCATAGTAGTGCACATCTGTAATCCCAGGGTTTAGAGGCATAGGCAGGAGGACAGGAAGTTGAAGGCTTGTGTGAGCCACATAGTGAGACCCTAGGCCACCAGGAAAATGATTAGGATTTTGTTTTCTCTTTTCCCCCCAGTGGAATCAGGTAGTATTGCATCTATATAGTAGTTTACATTTAAATTTTGTATGTTGACAGGGAGAGAGAAACACCACCCCGATTTGCTCAGCATGGCACATTTGAATATGAATATTCTCAGCGATGGAAGTCTTTGGATGAGATGGAAAAGCAACAAAGGGAACAAGTTGAGAAAAACATGAAGGATGCGAAAGACAAATTGGAAAGTGAAATGGAAGATGCTTATCATGAACATCAGGCAAATCTTTTGCGCCAAGGTAAAAGAAACTGAATTTCATAATTATGATCAGTTGCTTTTGAATTCATCAGAACCTCTTAACAAAATCAACATGATTTCCAGATCTGATGAGACGCCAGGAAGAGTTAAGACGCATGGAAGAACTTCACAATCAGGAAATGCAGAAACGTAAAGAAATGCAATTAAGGTAAACAAAACACCTGTGTGCTAGTAGCCATGTAATGTAGGAGCTGAAGATGGTAGATTGCTGGCCTTCAGTGAAAAGACTTGAGTTAGAATGCAACGCCCTGGGTTCAAGCCCCAGTATAGGTACAGAAAAAATACACATGTAATTTTCAGTAGTAGATATTAATTTATTTGTCAGATGTACTCTACAGCACTGTGTTTCTAGACTTTTTAGGCCTTTTGTCGGGACCAAGAAGTTCTTAGACTTTCTAAGATTCTTTTTTCAAGACAAATTTTAAAAGATGTGAATGAAAGTTTGACTTAAATGCCTAATAAATACTCCTAGGCAAGAGGAGGAACGACGTAGAAGGGAAGAAGAGATGATGATTCGCCAACGCGAGATGGAAGAACAAATGAGACGACAAAGAGAGGAAAGTTATAGCCGAATGGGCTACATGGATCCAGTAAGTTAGGTTTATTGCAGTCTTACAAGTTATCTACAGAACTTGGAGGTATCTAGAATGAAATTTTACTGGTAGTTGTAAAGTCTTGCTAGACACTAGTGGCGGGAGGGGGTGTCACTCCTGTTATTAGCCAATCAGGCTAAGGTTTTAGAGGCTTGCGTAGTGTTGCAAGCCAATTTGGGCAGGAAAGTTCAGGACCAATGTATTGCTCAAGTGGTTGATACCAACTGAGCAAGGAAGCTCAAAATTCTTGAGTTCAAACCCCAGCACAGTCATTACTTTTCCCTTAGTGTATTGTATTTGACTGCCATAGGTTTTATTTTCCTATATGAGTTGATATTTAATTGGATCAAAAATTTAAGAGGTTGGGCTGGGAAGGTGGCTCAGGTAGGGTGCTTACCTCGCATTCACGAGGCCCTGGGTTTGATTCCTCAGCACCACACAAGCAGAAAAAGCAGGAGGTGGCACTGTAGCTCCAGTGGTATGTATAGCGGTAGCCTTGAGCTGAAGAGCTGTGGGACAGTGCCCAGGCCCAGGCCCCATGACTGGCCAAAAAAAAAATTTTTTTTAAAGGTTTATTTTGTGCTAGTCCTGTGGTTTGAACTCAGGTCCTGGGTACTGTTGCTGAGCATTTGTGCTCAAGGCTAGTAGTGCTCTACTACTTGAGCCACAGCTCTACTTGCAGCTTCTTTTGGTGTACTCTATTGGAAATCGATGGCTCTTGACTTCTTGGGCTGGTTTGGAACCATGATCCTCAGGCCTCAACCTCCTGAGGAGCTAGGATTACAGGTGTAAGACATCAGTGCCCAGCTTAATTAAGTTTATTTTAAGCCTTATAAAAAACTTTTCTTTTAAGGTCTTAAAAAATAATACGGCTTGTACAAGGTAACGAAAGAAATTTCTTGTTTTTCCCAGAGAGAAAGAGACATGAGAATGGGTGGTGGAGGAGCAATGAACATGGGAGGTGAGTGTGAAAATTAAATTTACAGTATCATCATAGAGAACAGTATTCAATTGGAATTTTAACCACCACTTTTGTTTTCTAGATCCCTATGGTTCAGGAGGCCAGAAATTTCCACCTCTAGGTGGTGGTGGTGGCATAGGTTATGAAGCTAACCCTGGCGTTCCACCAGCAACCATGAGTGGTTCCATGATGGGAAGCGACATGGTAATGTATCCTGTGGGACGTAGTCAAAAGGAAATTCTCAATTTCATGACTCACACGTCTTATTTTTTGTTTGTTTGTTTTTTCTTTTTTTTAAGTAGGTGACTGGACCTCTTGGTTCCCCCTATCATGTAAACATAATGACTGAGGTATACTTTGGCAATGTAGAACTGTGTGGTAACCTAAACAGACGTGGTTACCAGTGAGGAGTCAATGCTGTTAGTATGTGGAGTTATCTTGGGCAATAAGAAGATTGAGGTTTTTTTTCATTTTATTGCTTGTGCACTATTGAATCTCTAGTGCATGGCAAATCCAAATTTGAGGTGTTAGATATTGTATGAGTTTTCTACACCCAAATGAAAGTAATGAAATGGCAAACTGTCTTTTTTTTTTTTTTAAAGCTGGTATTTGCCATAGTAGGAATCAGATCTGTAGCTTTAGGCATGTTTTAGTGCTGTAAAGGACTTTGACCTATATTTGGTGTGGCTTCTATCCAATGAAAAGGGAACTGGCTAGTGTTTTGACTCCGTCGTTTTCCACCTGTTGGGCCTGTCTGTAGGTACACTTTCTAAAATAAATGGACATCTGTATTATGCTACAGTATAGCAAAAGACAATAAAGCATACTAATTGTGTGCATTTGATCTGAACTTTCTTGATGCTATAGTGTTTTAGCTGTACAGATAGCCTGTCAGGTGCTTTAGGAACAATTGAGTGAATTTTGTTATGAGTGGCTGTATTAGAGCTTTAAAATTTTTTAGGACTGAATTTTGGTGGGTTGAGTGCATTTTTACAGCTGAATTGAATATTAGTTCAACTAAAGGCTTTGGCTCAAAGGAGCAGCAATAGAAACATGAGGGTTTACTATGAGACTAAAATGGACCTAAAGCCTTATGAGTATTAAAACTTAGTGTTGTAAATAGCTGGTTGGGTTAAATGTACTATTGATTAGCCTTCATCAAATTGAATTTTTAATGTGGGTAACATGGTTTATGTGCTTCCTGCAGATTAGAGATTGTTAGGTATATATCAGATTTCTAAACTAACATGTTCCTACACAGTTAGGTTCTATATCTGTCTAGACAGGTTTGTAGTCTTAACAGCTCCTTTCTCAGCTGTTAATCCTGAAGGCTTCGAATTTTCTATTTTTAGCTCTTTGAGATGTAAATAATAATATCAAAAACATAGGATTTTTAAGATAGAAGTTTAATCTCCCAGTAATTCTATAGTATTTTGTTCAAAAAAGTGCTGAAATAATGTATAGGAACAGTTAAATCTTGATGCCATTCTAGATTTTTCTTTGGAATCATACTCAAGTAGCTGGATTATTTTAAATGGAAATTGAAATGATAGTGTAGATTGCTCTGCTTTTGTATATCTATAGGGTTCTGTTTAGGTAAATGTATTTCTAGTTTACATGTAGAAATAACTGAAACTAGCTGGAATAATGAAGTGCACAGCTTATTTGCAGTCACTTTAGCTTGGTGTTAGGCTGTTGGGGGAGAAACCTAAAAAATAGAATCATAATGAACTGTTAGTGCACTTTTTTAAAATCAGAAAAAGTTGGACTGTTAAAGATGGGCTGTATATTCAGTCAGTTTGCAAGAATAGTACTGTGAACATAAATTGTCTCTGGCTTTATAGTGATGGCTCTGAAGGTGTGATACACTTGTGAGATACTTTGGCAGTACAAGTTTTATGATCAAAAGTTACTGTGCCGAAATCTATTAGATTTTTATACCTTTTCTTTTTTGTAGTCAATAGCATTTTACTAAAAAGTTTGAACCTTTTAAGATTGCTGCAACTTTGCAGATGTGTCTTAAGTTCTTGAACAAGCACAAGGTTTCTTATGCAGCACATGCCACTAACTGGTGAGTAGGTCTTCTGTCACTTCAGTGAATTGACTGGTCTGGTTGGGCTTGTTAGGCTTATCTGGAGATTAAAATTTTTGGTTGAGATCTTGAAAGTGAGTTTGCAAGTGATTCAGTGGATTAATCTGATGTGAAATTTCTTAGAACTCATTTTGGAATGGATTTTCACATCTGCACTAATTCTTAAATTTTTTAGCACTACAGGGAAGATCTATTCTTTGAAACAGGTGTATGAGAATGGCTCAAGTGGGAACATACCACAAGGCATGTATTATCGTAAACTAATTTTCAAATTACCCTTTTTTCCTTTCTATGTTCCCGGTACCTGTGGATCGACTCATTGGTGATTGTATCGACGAACGTTGACTACGGAACCTTCTAAAATATTTACTTAACACACATGGACATCAACTACATATAATGAACTGTTCATTACTGTTCCAATAGCGTACTGAGCGCTTTGGGCAGGGAGGTGCGGGGCCTGTGGGTGGACAGGGTCCTAGAGGAATGGGTCCTGGAACTCCAGCAGGATATGGTAGAGGGAGAGAAGAGTATGAAGGTCCAAACAAAAAGCCCCGATTTTAGATGTGATATCTAGGCTTTCATTCCAGTTTGTTTTTGTCTTTTCTTGTTTAGATACCACTTTTAAATTCTTGCATTTTAGTAAGAAAGCTACCTTTTTATGGATGTTAGCAGTTTATTGACCTGAAATTTGTAAATGGTCTGTTTGGGCAGGTAAAATTATGTAATGCAGTGTTCAAAACAGGAGAAAAATTTTTCCTTTTATTTCTTTTTTTAAACTGTATAATGTTCCTCAAGTTAATGGCAGTGTACCTTGTGCCACTGAATTTCCAAAGTGTACCAATTTTTTTTTTACTGTGCTTCAAATAAATAGAAAACATAGTTAATACTGATCTTCAACTTTGCCATTCATGCTTCTATGCACATTAGGCTAGGTATTCCACTTTGAAAGCATGAGAGTGTCTAGGCCTTTGAATGGCATATGCCGTTTCTGGGAAATGTATCTGGAAGCTTAAGTAAGCATTGCTTTCTACAAAGAACTGCCCTCTTGTTTTAAAAAGAAATGCATCTCAAAGTAGTTCACGATTTGTTTGGCATTATAGGAAGCAAGCTGGTGCTAAGTAATTTTTTAATGGTTATGTAAGCAAAGCTGAACTGTAAATCTTCATTCAGGAATGTGTATGGAATGGGTGTAAGCTATTGGTAGGGGGAGAAAGTGGGTTTGGTTAAATGGATCTTTCATGGCCCTGTGATCTACCCTTTCTTTGAAAGTTTTTGAAAAGTAGAAATATCATTTTGTTGCATTTCCCCTATTCTTGTTTTTAAAAGAACAAATTCCCAAGCCCTACAAAATGGCTTGTACTGAACTTTTGCATTTGAATTAAAGATTGTTAAACATGGAAGCCTTTTCATGTATTCAAGTGATTTATAAAAAGACGGTGAAAAACATCAACTTGAAAGTAAGGTTTAGATACCTATAAAGTAGGTTTAGTTCTTCACATTTGTACTCTAACTTATACTCAGGCTACTTTTGTTGGGCAAAAATCTGTGGAACTATGAAAATGATTCTTAAGAGGCAGTGGTGATTTAATAGTGCAGGTAATCATCCTTAAAATTTTTTGTTCCCTTGTTTAAATCATTTCTTTTAGAAGTAGTGCTGAATCTGGGGAGATTTGTTAATGGTATGTAGTACAAATACCCTTTCTTCCCACCATAAAGCTTTGGAATGTTTCGATGGTGTTGTCAGTTAATTGTCAACCTCATTGAATATCCTTGCATTAGAACAAAGACTTTTTGACTCAACATTAGATTGCTTACTGTTGGTCTGTTAGTGCAATGGGAGCTTGATTTCCTTCCCAGTTAGAGAAACAACTTCCCTCAGTAGGCAAAGTAATTGAATGCTTTGGCTTTGTTTTTAGTTACGTTTCCATTCAAGTCTGTACATTATAGAATGTTGACTATGGAATGACTTCATCCTTTTCACCTGTTTGTGGTGCGAATTGGCAAAAGGAAAAATTCTAAAATCTTTGCTAACATGCTGAAGTTTAGTATTGTGCCTAACTACAAAAGGAAATAATTGAGTACTTTTCTGAATGGGAAAAGGATTATTTAAGTAAAACACTAGTGGAATATAAAGCATATATCCAAATTCTAGTTGTATGACTGGCAGGTACATGGTGTGCTAAGTAAGGGAGAGAATCTCCTTATCAGGTACACTCATTTCTACTCACCAACACACTTAAAAGTCAATTTTACCCTAAATATTTCAATAAGAAAAGTTTGGCCCCAAGTTATCGACTGGTGATACATTTTCTATATGGAAACGAGGGTCATGATTTGAAAGGAGTCCATTACAATTTGGTTGAATTGTATGATAGGGACTCTAATGATAAGATCATGGGTGTTCATGGGACACCCACAGGGTGAACTTGGAATGTATGTGGGTGGGGGGCTGGAGGGGAGATGGGAAAATCTGCCTATAAAATTAATGTTTCAGTTTATTTTTCAGATTACATGCCTTTCTTTATAAGGGATGCTGGCACAGACCCCTAAAATAAGCTCTTTTGGTAGTACTGTACCTTTGAAGAGAGGTGAAGGAAGCTAATGGATAATCTACTGAAAAGTTGTGGCTTTTGATAGCCTCACTGTGGGCTGTAGAAATGCTAAACTTTGTTTAGCAAATAATGCTTAGTTTTAACACAACATTTACCTTCATCACTGAAAACAGTATTCCAAGGGTTGTAAGCTATTCAGATAAGCTTTGAACAAGTCTCGCAATGTATATATGACAGTTTTGCATATGATAGTGTTTAGTGTAATATGAATTTTAATCATAGTTTCCTAAAAGTTGATAATGAAACTTAGGGTGGGAAAGGGAAGGGAATAATTGGAAGTGTTTTAGTTACTTTTCTCATTTGAAGAAACCAACTGCCCCTATTTCCTCTTCTTTACTTTCTCTCATAATTTTGATTTAAGAGGAACACTTTTAAAACATTTCTCCTAATCTTTACATATTGCATTCTCTAAGAAACTATTGTATTAAATAGGTATCTTACAAGCTTAATCTATTGGCTCACATTAGTAAAACCATAGTCTTATTCTGCCTAGAAAATTAAAAGCCTAAGTGCTATAAAATCCACCACAATAAGATGTGTTATAGCACTAATATAAAGATAATTTTGGGAAATTGTAATGTTACGCCTGTGAAATTTTTTTAAGTGGCATATTATGGCTTATAAAAATGTAGATACTTGGCTTGGGTAAGCCATAAAGTTGTGGCGGAATGTTTTGTGGTGTTCTTGGACTGCAATAATGCACTATTAAAAGTAGTGGCCTGCTACATAACTGCATTTAGCCAGCATTTCTGCAGTGCGTAACTGTGAGGAACGTAGTACCGCAAATGGCAATGGACATTAGGACCCGGATGTAGTATTCCTGCTTGCTCCAAGATTCTCATTGCCGACTGCATACAGGTAGGTAACAAGCAATATAATCTAACTTGGTGACTTGCTATGTACTTTTATTCCGTGGGCATTCTGACATCACACTTCTGACCATGAAATTACAGTGCAGCACCTAACACTTGTATGATAAAGCTTAGCTTATCAAAAACTGTGTGGGTCTGGGGTAGAGCTGTAATTGATTAGGCAGAATGTGGTGCTGTTGCAGTTCTGAGACAAAGTACAAACTTGATTCTTTGGTATATCTTGAGTTGTGTGGTTTTCTTTCAGTTGCATTGTATGTGAAAATAACATGGTATACACCAGTGGTGTATGGGGGCAAGGGAACCAAACCATACTTGGAACTAGGGTGCTCATAACACCTTGATAATGGGATGTATAATGTGATAATTAGTCCCTAGTGTAGCAAACTGACCTCATGTAGGTCAGCAATGTCTAATTTTATTATACAAACTTGGTTTATTGTCAGGTTGAGTGAATTGACAGGGTTTTTTTGTAATAGGAAATTTTTTTTTTTTTTCAAACATGGTCTTCATGGGAATATCTTGGTTACTTACTAACTTGGGATTAGATGGGAAGACTTGTCTAAATATGTTTATACACTAAACTTGGGGAAGTCGTGTGAAACATGGACTTGGCCAACAGTTGGGAATGATTCCCAAACAACACTTCGTCGTACTGTGTAGTGACTGCATTTGTTGAGAGTAGCCTTTTGAAACTGCTTCCCTTACGTTTAGGGATGTGATACTACAGTCCCAAAATGAATGTTTAATGACAGGAAAACAAGTCTTGAAAAGCATCTTTTGTTGCTTAGAACTTTTAAGCTTTGCATCAATTGTTGTTGCAGACCTCAATTCAACTTTGGTCTTCGAACTGTTTTTTAGCTAGCATGCATGAGAAATGACATTCACTTACAATGCTTCCTGCTCTCTATATAGCTGGAAAGTTTGCTTTTACTTTGCATAAATGCTGGTGAAAACTTCCTGACTATATGATTTTTCTTTCACTGTGCAAGAAAAGTAGCTTGCTCTTTGGCAACCAAGTCACAGGGTGGGGGCAGATTTGTACTTGATTATGTAGTCCATTCAAGGAAACAACTTTTGTCTTTTCATAGATGAAAGAAGCAAATGGTGACTAGTCTAGCTTCTCCATAAATATAATGTAGATCAAACAATGCTCAGTATTAGTGACATGATATTCACTAACCTGCATAGGACCCTGATGGGTGGGGATTTCCTGTGTATAATCCATTAAATCGGTGCTAGTGCTTGCTTCCGTGGTTTAGTTTGTGTTCAGAAATAAAAGTTCAGGTTTATTTCTTACTAGTCAGGTTCATTTCTTTTTAGAGAATGTACTTGGCACAATACAAGGACAAAAGGAACATAATTGGGGTGTGGGAGTGATTTTGCTTTTGTTCTGCTTTAAGCTTATAAGCTTGCACATGAAGATGAAAACCATTGACTTTTTTGTGTGTAGCTATATAAATTGTAAATCTTAGCGTAACAATGGTTTTTTTTAAAAACCACTCAATCAAAAAGCTGGGAATTAAGTGGGTTTCAGTAATGATGCTATATGCTGAGGTGCTTGCATTGTATTTCATAATTTTTCTTGTTAAATAAACAATTATTTTCATTGAGAATTAGTCTTTTAAGTTCAGAGGTGTGATGCCAGAATGTATTCTCGTACTGTTAGGCCCTTGGAACATAAACCAGTGCTTTATGAAAGATTTAAAAAATGCGATGGGTATTCATGCAAGGTTGCAAACCTACAAAGTATGCACAAGAGTCTCACTTCCCTAATAAAGAGATGCGTGTGACTAGTTTTGGACTTTTAACCTTAATGGGGGTGCATGTCTCATTGTTAATCATTGTCAGCTGCAGTGACATGATCCACAGTCCTGCATTCACTGCCTTCTTAATGATTTTGGACAGGTTTTTAGATAGCTGGGGTGTTTGTTCTGGACCTTCACTTGGTTTTGGCTTTATCTGATCATGATTCAGGGCTGTCAGCTTAGTGCAGTTTTTAAATGGCTGCCTATAAGGAAAGAATTCCGAGGATTTGATTGCTCTTAATCATCTGTCATTGCTGCTAGATAATGATTGGCAATTTTTTAGATTCAACTGTGAGAATTTCACAGTTGCTGATAAAGCATCAACCATAAAAATGTCGTTTTGAACACCAGTGCTGAAAAGGAGGGTTTGGGGGGTGGTTCTCTTTTTTCTTATTTTTTTCCTTTGAGGATGAAAAGGGCTGGACATAGAATAGGTTTAATCTGAAGAATGGGGGAAAATGCAAAACGATATAGTATCCCTTATGGATGGTACATGTGCAACAGGAAGTTGTATTTCACTTTTACTGGTGGCAGTAATGATATAGGGAGGAAGAGAAACCTGGAACTGTTAAGGCTGATCTTTCTGTTTCTTTTGCACTGTGCCAGGTGTGTATAGTGAAAGTAAATGTCTTCTCCCTCATATGCACGTAAACACGTGGGTTCCTTGCTGTTCCAGTAAGGTATAGCTTCCCTACTCTAGGCTTAAAACTCAGGACTTGGAGGGTAAGGTGCAAATGCATAGGATTGCAGGGAAAGAACTGCAGTGCTGTGTGCTATGGGAAGGGGGTGAAACTCTTGGAAGACTCCTGCTGAAGGTGGTTAGCCCACCTGAGAATGGAAGACATGCTTGAATAAGGGAGTAGGGAATATGTGCTTTCACATGAAAAGAGCTGATAAAACTCACTTAGAGAGGTAAACGTTGTCACACACCTTCACATAAGGGATAGTATATTTTGAGTTGCAGGCAAACTTCCTCGTCCTCAGATTGGTGAAAATAGGAGTTAGGCTTTTACATTTTAAAGAAGACAGTTTTCATTCTCATTTTAGTGTCTTTAATACTTACATGAAGAATAATTTTAGATTTTTTTTCCCCGTGAAGTTTCTTTCTATTTTTTTATGCTGTAACTTATCCCAGTCTTTGTCTCTGGAATTTTACTCTTTAAATTTTGAAGTAGCATTTTCAGGCCTTTATTCTCTACCTTTGTCTTTTCATTTTAACTTTTCCTTATTATTCTCTAGGTGAGAATGATTGATGTTGGCTGATACAGGAGTGCTCATTCACTTCAAGTAAGTGTCTTTAGAAATCCTAAAGGAGGGGGGAGGCTGGGAAGGGATGTGAAGGGTAAACAAAGGAGGAGGCTGCAATACTTGGTAAGAAATGTACGCATTATCCTGCCCATGTAATTGTAACCCCTCTGTACAGTATGTTCACAAATAAAATATTAAAAAAAAAATCCTAAAGGATAGCACATTTTAGACTTGATTTGTCTTCTATTCAGTAAAAATAATTTGACTTAACAAAAGTGAAATGTGTGTTGTTGATATGTACTTTTCTTAAGAAAATAACCCATTTATTTACCTTTTGTGCTAGTGCTGGGGCTTGAACTCAAGGCCTTGGGCAATGTCTCAGCAGTTTTTGCTCTGGGCTGGTACTCTACCACTGGAGATCACACCTTCACTCTTGGCTTTTTAATGGTTAATTGGAGATAAGGATTGCAGGTGTGGGGCACCACTGCCCTGCCCAACCCTATTTTTTGTTTTTGAAAGTTGTGCAAGGATTGGGCATGTAGGGTAGCTCAGTGAAGAGAGTGACTAGCTAGCAGTCAATAGAGCAAGTAGAGCATATTTATTATTTGAAAAAATGAGAACTATAATTGGTGCTAGAACTAACTGGGGCTTGAACTCAGGGGCTAGAGACAGTCCCTGAGCTTTTGTGCTCAAGGATAGCACTCTTAGTGCTTGAGTAAGCAACAGCTCTACTTCTGACTTTTTGGTGCTTAATTGGAAATAAGAGTCTGACAGACTTTCCTGCCCAAGCTGCTTGGTCTGGCTCCAAACCACAATCCAGCGCCTGGCAACAATAAGTTTTTTAAAACTGCTTTGTCAGGGACCAAGGATATATTCCTTGTGTGTATATAGTGTATTCCTAACAAACAACCCATCATCACTCTCCTTCACCCAGACATCCCCTTCAAGCAACTTGAACAGGTTATATATATATATATATATATAATGAAACTTAGCAGGAAAGAAAGCTTGAGTTAAATGATAAGAAAACCTATATTTTCAGTATTTTATTCCTGATGTAAGTCCATAAAATTGTAGTTTGTTGCTGGGTGCTGGTGGCTCATGCCTGTAATCCTAGCTACTCAGGAGGCTGAGATCTAAGGATCGAGGTTCAAAGCCAGCCTGGGCCGGAAAGACTGAGACTCCTATCTCCAATAAACCACCAGAAAACCGGAAGTGGCCCTGTAGCTCAAGTGGTAGAGGGCTCGCCTTGAACTGAGGACAGCGCTCAGGCCCAGAGTTCAAGCCTCATGACCGACAAAAAAAAAAATTGTAGTTTGTTTTATGCAGAAAATATAACAGTAACTAGGAGTTAGGAGGAGGACCAGTTCCATAGGTAAAATGGAAAAGACTAAAAAGATCCTCCTTGGCAGTTCACCTCACTCCCACTGGTGCTGCATCAACCATATTTGGAACAATGTTCTAGGTCTTTACTATAGCTATATAGAAAATGTTTCTATAGGGATGTGTGTATATATGTGGACATCAAATTACCTGTTGGAATAAAATAGTATACAGTTCTACATAAAACTAAGGTAATTTTTAATACCGATTACAGATGGATAAAGGTAATCTTCAAGAAGCCACTCAGCATGGGCCACCCGTGAAAGAAAGTCAAAAGTTGCTAGACTGAGTATAAGAGTCTAGGTAAGGTGATTTTTTTTTTTTTCCTGTCTTTGGGTCGGTGTGGGGTTTGGGTGCTGTCCCTGAACTGCGCAAGGCTAGTGCTTTACCACTTTGAGCCACAGTGCCGCCACTTTCCAGTTTTCTGCCAATTATGTGGAAATTAAGAGTCCCATAAACTTTCCTGCCTGGGCTGGCTTTGCGCCCCCATCCTCAGATCTCAGTCTCCTGAGTAGCTAGGATTATAGACGTGAGCCAAGCAGTCAATGGCTGTGGACTTTTTTTTTCTCTCTTTTTTTTTAATGCTAGTCCTGGGGCCTGTGTGCTTATACAACCGTTCCACTTAATTTGGGGGGAATTAATTGGAGATAGTCTGCCTAGGCTGGCTTTGAATCTTCATCTTAATGAATACTTTGAAACTGTCTTTAGAAATTGCTTTTGGTGGTTACAAAAATAGTGGTTAATATATTACATAATGTTGATTTCCTTTTAATTGGCAGGATCAGGTGAGCTGTCCAGAAAACCAGTGAAGATGACTATAAAGAAGGAATAAATAATACTTCAATTAATAAATATTTTAAAATTTGATTGAACTTTTGTTTTTGCTTATAACCAAGTCTTTATTTTCCTTATTACTCTAGGTTAAAGTATTGTTTTACACAGGTACTGTGTGAGAGAGACTCAAGATTCTGTTCTTTTTTGTGTGTATACCAGTTCCAGGGCTTCAGTTTGAGTATTTGCTCAGCTTGGTTGATGGAAGCTTCACTCTACCAATGCTTTGCTGGTTATTGAATCTCCAGTATTTTTCTGCCTAAGATTGAGCTCCCCAAGAGCTTGCAAGGTGGTAGGGTGGGAAACAAGGGAACCTTATATAGCAGTCTGGCTTGAACTAGTCAACTTAAGCTTCCCTATTCTTTTTTTTTTTTTTTTTTTTGGTCGGTCGTGGGGCTTGAACTCCGCCTAGGCACTGCCCCTGCGCTCTTTCAGCTTAAGGTGAGCGCTCTACCACTTGAGCCACTGCGCCACTTGAGGTTTTCTGAGAGATTTATTGGAGATAAGAGTCTCAAAAAATGGGGCTGGGAAGTTGGCTCAGTGGTAGAGTGCTTACTGAGGCCCTGGGTTTGATTCCCTAGCAAGCACCACATAAGCAAAAAGAAAAAAAGCCAGAAGTGGTGCTGTGGCCCAAGTTGTAGAGCGCTAGCCTTGAGCTGAAGAGCTGAGGGACAGAGTTCAGGCCCCACGACCGGACCCAAAAAAAAAAGTCTCAAAGACTTTCCTTCCCGGGCTGGCTTTGAACCTCAATCCTCAGATCTCAGCCTCCTGAGTAGCTAGGATTACAGGTGTGAGCCACAGACACCTGGCCCCAAACAACTTTTTTAAAGGATAAATGGAACCCATTTCTTTTCTTTTTCTTTTTTTTTTTTGTCGGTCATGGGGCTTGAACTCTGGGCCTGGGTGCTGTCCCTCAGCTCTTCAGCTCAAGGCGAGCGCTCTACCACTTGAGCTACAGTGCCACTTCCGGTTTTCTGGTGGTTTATTGGAGATAGGAGTCTCACGGTCTCTCCTGCCCGGGCTGGCTTTGAACCGCGATCCTCAGATCTCAGCCTCCTGAGTAGCTAGGATTACAGGCGTGAGCCACCAGCGCCCAGCTTGGAACCCATTTCTTGATTGGAAGTTTTTACTCAAAAGGAGTTTGAAGTGTTTTCCATGAGGTGAGCATTGTGTGTATGTAGTACTGGGGCTTGAACTCAGAGCCGCTTTCTATTAGCTTTTTCACAAAAGACTGGCCTACCACTAGGAGCCACACCTCTACTGGTTTATTGCTGGTGGGAGAAGAATCAAATATTGTGTACCTGGGATGGTATTGAACCAGGATCTTCAGATCTCAGCCTCCTGATTATTGTAGGAGTGAGCCATTGGTAATCTCAATGTGAATGTCTCTTTAAGACTTTGAGGCAATGCTAGGATTTGAATTTAGGACCTCAGGGTAGCTAATCCCTTTTGTTCTGTTTTTCCTTTTTTTAATATGGTGTCACTCATAAGCTGACATGTTGAATAACCCCTTTGTACAACTACTTTAAAGAGTCAACGTCAAAAAAAGAAAAAGTCTAAAATGTGTGTAAGTGCATTCCTTGACCCGGAATACTTTATTGGTTGTGGGTTGCTCACTTAGGGGGGTGGTGTGTGTTTGTGTGCGCACGCACACCTGTGCCAGTACTGGATCTTGAACTTGGCCTGGCACCCTCCCTTAGAAGATACTATTTGAGCCACTGCTCCACTTGAGGTGTTCTGCCTAATTGGGAGATAAATATTTTACAGACTTACTGCCTGGGCTGGCTTTTTTTCTTTTTCTTTTTTTTTTTTTGCCAGTCATGGGGCCTGGGCTCTGGGCTTGGGTACTGTTCCTCAGCTCTTCATCTCAAGGCATGTGCTCTACCACTTGAGCCACAGCATACTTCCACATACTTCATTTTAATAGAAGATATATGAATAAATTAGTGATACATGTTTTTTATGTTATTTAGACTTTATTTTTGTCAGTTGTGGGGCCTGAACTCGGTCTGGGCGCTGTCCCTCAGCTCTTCAGCTCAAGGCTAGCGTTCTACCACTTGAGCCACAGCGCCACTTCTGGCTTTTTCGCATATGTGATGCTGAGGAATCGAACCCAGGGCCTCATGCATGCAAGGCAAGCACTCTTTACCACTGAGCCACCTTCTCAGCCCGCTTGGGCTGGCTTTGAATCAAGATTTCCTCATATTCCACTTTTATCATTCTGTAGATTAATGCCTTTCCAGTCAGTATAGTTTATGTATTCTCACTCTTGGTACAGATTCACTGAGGTGTAGGGGTCATAGAATGTATTACAATGTTTTTATTAATAACTTGCTTGTAGATTTTATATTTGCAAGCCAATTTGAATATGAAACCAGGAGCAAGTTTTTACTTTATACAGTAAGTTTGAAAACAATGGGTAAATTATGCTTTTGAGTGAATGAGTCTAATAAAGACTTTTATTAAGATGATCCTAGATATTGAGCATCACAATTAAAAGGCAGCCTAACAGAAAAGTCTCAATGAAACTAGTCTCCAACTAACCACTCAAAAACTGGAAGTGGGGCTGTGGCTCAAAGAATTAAGAGCCTAGCACCAGTGCCTGATGCCTATAATCCTAGCTACTCAGGTGGCTGATAGCAGAGGGTTGCAGTTTAAAACCAACCTGGGCAGGAAAGTCCATCAGGCTCTATTAAACACCTGAAAACGAAGTTGCACTGAGGCTCAAGTGTTAAGAGCTCTCGTCTTAAGCTGAAGATCTCAACGCTGAAGCCCAGAGTTTAAGCCCCATAACTGGAAAAAAGAACTAGTCATCAGTATCAGCTGAGCCATTTGCTTTTTTGAAAGACCTTGGAGCTCCATAGCATTCTCCCACACTTAGGAATTTCAAAAATTTCAGCTTACTCTGTGTCCTTGAATATCATTAAATGTGACAGTAATCACCTGCCTTTTTTTTTTTTTTTTTTGCTGGTCCTGAGGCTTGAACTCAGAGCCTGGGTACTGTCCTCAATCCTCTATGCTCAAGGATAGTTATACCATTTGAACCACAGCACCACTTCTTGCTTTTTCTGTTTGTAGTACTTAGGAATTGAACCCAGGGCTTCATGCATGCTAGGCAAGCACTCTACCACCAAGCCACTTTCCCAACCCCTTATCTGCCTTTTTAAGGGACTTTTTCTTGGCGTGGAGTCCCAAAGGTGTGTTATTTTTAATAAAGGCTAGTGGCTTATGTCCATAGTTCAACTTAGCCTGTGAAAAAATGTTTGCAAGGATCTCGTTAAAAAGCTGGATGGGCCGGGCGCTGGTGGCTCACACCTGTAATCCTAGCTACTCAGGAGGCTGAGATCTGAGGATCGAGGTTCAAAGCTAGCAGGGGAAGGAGAGACCTTGAGACTCCTATCTCCAATAAACCACCAGAAAACCGGAAGTGGCACTGTAGCTCAAGTGGTAGAGCGCTCGCCTTGAGCTGAAGAGCTGAGGGACAGCGCCCAGGCCCAGAGTTCAAGCCCCACGGCCGACAAAAAAAAAAAGCTGGATGGGCTGCCTTGCCTTGCAAGCATGAGGCCCTGGGTTCAATTCCCCGTCACCACATAAGCAGAAAAAGCCAGAAGTACTGCTGTGGCTCAAATGGTAGAGCGCTAGTCAAGCTGAAGAGCTGAGGGACGGTGCCCAGGCTGAGTTCAGGCCCCATGACCAGCAAAAAGAAAAGAACCTGGAAGTAGAGGCATGGCTCAGGTGATGAGCACGTTAGCATTGTGAGAATCCTCTTTCTACCCACTATTTTGAGGCCAAGAGATAGGCATAATTTTTTTTTTTCTTTTTTGGTTGTGGGGCTTTAACTCTGGGCACTGTCCCTCAGCTCTCCAGCTCAAGGCAAGTGCTCCACCACTTGAGCCACAGCACAACTTCTGCTTTTCTGGTAGTTTATTGGAGATAAGTCTTAAGGACGGGCTGGGAAGTTGGCTCAGTGGTAGAGCACTTGCCTTGCATGCCTGAGGCCCTAGGTTGATTCCTCAGCACCACATAAGCAAAAAGAAAAAAGCCATAAGTGGCACTGTGGCTCAAGTGGTAGAGTGCTAGCCTTGAGCTGAAGAGCTGAGGGACAGCGCTCAGGCCCCGAGTTCAGGCCCCACGACTGGACCCAAGAAAAAGTCTCAAGGACTTTTCCTGCCTGGGCTGGCTTTGAACCAAGATCCACATATCTAGCCTCCTGAGTAGCTAGGATTACAGGCCACCAGCGCCCAGCGGGTACTTGGTCTTTGGACAGAAGGCCTTGCACTGGACAAATAAGTACATGTACTGCCTGTGAACCACACATGAAGTCTTGATAATTCCAAGGAAATTATTTTGAAATATAGTTCACCAGGTAGTGATTAGTTACAAGAGCCTATTACTGGAATTGAGAAAATGCAAATTAGGTGTCTCTGACTATATTGAGGACAAATGCAAAACTGAACAAAAGGACAAGTGAATTGTAATCTAGGTCTTTTTTGTTGTTGGTCGTGGGGCTTGAACTCTGCCCTGGGAGCTGATCCTGAGCTCTTCAGCTCAAGGCAAGCACCACTTCCTGTTTTCTGGTGGTTAACTGAAGTCTCACACTTCCCTGCCTGAACTGAGATCCTCAGATCTCAGCATCTTGAGAAGGATTACAGGCGTGAGCCACCAGTACCCGGCTAGAGGGTGTTACAGAGCTAAAATAGAAGACCTTTGAAAGACTCTGCTCTAAAGCTGGGTGTTAGTGGAGCATGCCTGTTATCCTATTCCTAGGGCTGATATCTGAGTATGGTAGTTTGAAGCCATTTTGGGTAGTTAAGTCTGTGAGACTCATCCTTGAGTCTGTGAGAGCTATCCTTGAGCAGAACCCAGGTCTTGTTACAATCACAAACAGATGCCGATCTACAGGCTTGGCTTAAGATCCAGAATACTTGAAAACGTGTGGATGATGTGGTGCTGTTGTTTCTGAAGAAAGCATGATGCAGTGCTACAAAAGTGCATTGTGGATTCAACCGCTGCTAAGGAAGAAAGTACTGCTGCCAGGGCAAAGCAAAAAAGAAAAAAATGATGCTTCCAAGAATCGAATCAGGAGTGAGGCAAACAGGAAAGGCTCTACAAAGATCCAGCAAGAGTAGAAATGTGATTTAGAGTTCAAATTCACACAGGTTGGGGAGGACAACAAAAGACAAAGCTGATTTCAGATAATTACAAAAAAAATAAATTCAAAATAACCATTCTAGGTCCTGCCTTCTACTTGAAAAAAATCAGGGGAAAAGCAATTAACCTTAATCTGGAATAAGTTAATATGTGGGAATTGTTGGCTGTTTAAATGGCCATGGTTCAAATATTTACATTTTATCCTAGTAGTAATAACTGACCTCATCTTACAATACTCTCCACAACTCTTAGGAAATTACCAGGCCCCAGGGGCTCATGCCTATAATCCTACTCAGGAGGCTGAGATCTGAGGATCACAGTTCAAAGCCAACCTGGGCAGGAAAGTCCGTGAGAGTCTTATCTCCAATAAACCACTGGAAAACAGAAGTGGTGCTGTGGCTCAAGTGGTAGAGTGCTCTTGAGCTGAAGAGTGCAGGGACAACAACCAAGCCCAGAATTCAAGCCCACGAACAACAACAACAAAAAATACAGAACTGCCAGGCATTGATGATGCCTATAATCCTAGGTACCTGGGAGAGATCAGAATGCTGGTGTGGGGAGTGGTGCTGTGGCTCAAGTGACAAGAGTGCTTGTCTTGAGCTCAGGGACAGCACCTAGGTCCAGAGTTCAAGCCCCACAGCCAACAACAACAAAAAAACCCAGAATGCTGGTGTGAGGCCAGCCTATGGCAAGGCCAATATCCCATCACAAAATGCTAGGTATTATGGTACATTCCCATTATTCTAGGTATAGTATGAGGATCTACACTACAGCTGGGCACAAACTGGATATCCTACTTGAAAAAGGGCTAGGGATTTGTTGTTCAAGCTCTAACCAGTATAGAGATATAGTTCAAACCCCGGTATTACAAGTCTCAATGAAATTCTGTAATCCTAGCTACTAAGGTTGAGATGAGGGTCAAAGTTCAAAGGCAATCCAGGCAGTAGGCTGAGACTCGTCTCCAACTAAGCAGAGCTATGTATTTCAGTGGCAAAGCACTACTTTTGGGGAAAAAAGCTTAGGGACAGTGCTCGTTCAAGAATGGCCCCAAAACAATGGTGGAGCCAGGTGCTGTTGGCTCACGCCTGTAATCCTAGCTACTCAGGAGGCTGAGATCTGAGGAGCTGAGGTTCATAGCCAGCTTAGGCAGGAAAGTCTGTGAGACTCTTCAATAAACCAAGAGAAAACCAGAAGTGGCAATGTAGCTCAAGCGGTAGAGCGCTCACCTTGAGCTGAAGAGCTGAGGGAGGGATAGTGCCCAAGCCAAAAGAAGAAAAACAATGGAGATGGATTTTTGCTCCCCTCCCCCATTTGCACATTTATGTGTTGGGGGGGCAAAGGAGAGCTGTGCTACCACAAATGCAGCAGTGGTACTCAGTAGACATATTGAAGAGAATTATACCATTTATGGGTAGGGCCTAAAAAAATGGAGAAAGCAAAGGGGTGGGGTGCAATGAACTTATTACCTGACTTATGAAATGGTAATCCCTGTGTATCACCTTAAAGGTAGAGAAACAGAAAGGATAAGGTTACCAGAGAAATGTTTTTTGTTTTTTTTAAAAAGGCCCAGACGTCCTTAGAAAGCTAAAGATTGACCTCCCTTACGACCCAGTCATACCACTTCTAGGCATCTACCCTGAACAACAGGAACAATATACAAGGACACGTGCACCTCCATGTTTATTGCAGCACTGTTCGCAATAGCCAGGATATGGAAACAACCTAGATGCCCCACCACAGATGAATGGATCCAAAAATTGTGGTATCTATACACAATGGAATATTATGCAGCCATTAGAAATGACAAAATAATGGCATTTGCAGGGAAATGGATGGAGCTAGAAGGAATCATGTTGAGCGAGGTAAGCCAAGAGTAAAGAGACAAACGGTACATGGTCTCCCTGATAAGTGGATGCTAAATCCAAAAGGTTAGGTGATACGATAAAACAGGACTTAAGAAACAAAGAACTCCCGCTCATCTGGTTGAACCACTACTAAATATCCCCATGCTGCTGATCACAAATATGGTATATAACATGTGAACACTTATATATTACAGACTGTGGTAGACAATTTGCTCCAGGGAAGTTAGAATGAACTTGTGACTTTGAAATTATGTAATCATTTAATCACAATCAAAAAAAAAAAAAAAAAAAAGAACCTCGGGGAAGGGAGGGAGGGAGGGGATGGTAGGGGGAAAACAATGGAGGGGGTAACAATGTTCAAGAGGAAGTGTACTCATAACCTCACTCATGTAACTGTAACCCTCTGTATAGTAGCTTTACAATAAAAAAAAAAAAAAAATATAAAAAGGCCCAGACGAATCTCTAAAGAACAGATTTCCTTTATTTAAACTTTTTTACAAAATTTCACAAGAGGCCCATCTGTTGTAGTTATTTGAAAAGTAGTCAGGTTTTCATAACATGAACATTATCCAGTTGAAAAGTATAAACACCCAAAATATAATTTTAATGAGAAATTTAACAGTTCAAATAAATACAAATGACCCAAATGGACAGTTATCCAATCCAAATTCTACTGAGACTGAAGACGAGGAAACACCAATTCTTGCATTTTTGTTGGGAATATAAATTGGCCAATTCTTAAAGAAAGCAATCTGTCAGTGTCAGAAAGATAAGTGTACATGTTGATAATTAGGAAGATCAGGGATAATGATTCTGAGTTTGAGGCCAGTCTGGGCTACATGAGACCCTGTTACCAAAGTTATAAAAAACAACAACCAAAAAACCCCTACCCACAATGAATGTACAAAAGCTGGGTATGGTAGTACATGCCTATAGTTGCAGCACCCAAGAGATTAAGGTAGGACTGCTTGAGCCCATTAGTTTAAGGCCAGTGTAGACAACAGAAGACCCTGTTTCACACACACAAATAACAGAAAAATCACACACTAAGTGGGCATGGCCATAATACATGCCTGTGTTATTAAACCGTGAGTTTGAGAGCAGCCTGGACAACATAACAAGGCCCTGTCATACACAAAAAGAAAAAGAAAAAAAACACCCACAATCTGGGCATAGTAGTGCTGTATTCTCAGCACTTGAGCTTGAGGCTGGACTGTTTGAGCCCAGGAATTTAAAGGTGGCCTGAGCTGCAAAACAAGACCTTGTCATAAAAATAACACCTCTTACTGCCACCCCCCAACACACACACACACACACACCATTTGGGAATAGTAATAGTATGTGCATATAGTCTCAACACATACGAGGCCTCTAGAACTGCTTGAGCCCCCAAGTTGGGCATCCCAATAGTACACGTCTGTTTAAGCCTATGAATTTAAGGGCAGCCTAGACACAAAACAAAGGCCTTGTCATAGAAAGAAAAAGAAAAAACCCCACCACCTGGGCACGATAGTGCTGCAGTCTCAGCACTCAAGCTTAAGGAAGGACTGCTTAAGAGTTTAAGGCTAGCTTGGGCTGGAAATTAGACCCTGTCATAAAAATGAAAAACAAAAGCCCCACAACTTGTATATTGTAATAGTGAGTTGTGGGTCAGCCTGGGCAATACTGAAAGTCCCTGTCACACACATAAACACACACACAAAAAAAGAACCCACAATCTGGGCATGATAGTGCTGTAGTCTTGGCACTCGAGCTTAAGGTCTGCCTGAGCCCATAAGTTTAAGATTAGAGGTACAAAATGAAACTTTGGTCTCACACATGAAGAAAAAAAGATACCCACTCCTAATTTGGGTGTAGTAGCACTAGTTTCAGCACTCCAGGTTAGGGCAGGACTGCTTAAGTCCATGACTGGTTTACATAGTAATGAAGCCATGTCTCACACTCACACTCACACACACACAAAGCACAATCTGGGCACAGTAGTGCATCATGCCTAGTCTTAGCACTCAAGGGGCTGAAGCAAGACTGATTGAGTCTGAGTTTAAGGTCAGCCTCAGCAACACATGAGACCTAATATCAAGAAAAAAAAATCTTCAAGTTTAGTAACACCCATTATACATTACAGAGAAAAAAACCCTGTATAATCTACCTTATTACTTATTGCAAGTACCTCTAAATATATTTAAGAAACGTACAAATTCAAGGTGTGGAACTGAGTACTAAAGAAGGAATGGGGAATTCACTGTCATTCTGTAACTTTTGAATTTTTTAATTAAATTTGTGCTATATTGTCTAGGGAAGATACTTTCTTAAAAAAAGATATAAAAATATAAAAGGTAAAACTATAATAAAAACAGGAAATAAAAAGGAGACGTAATTTTGAAATAAAAACTAGGATCTCAAGACCAGAGTATTGATGAGACTCTACAGTTCAACTACATAGGAGGCTGAGGTGGGATAATTATTTAAGCTCACAAAATGCACACCAGTCTAGGCAACAAACTTACAAACCTCACTAGGACAACACAAATTCAGTTTCAGGTGTTATGTACCTTTCTTCTGACTGATAAACTTTTCTACAATTCCACTGAGTCCTTCAGACTCTACCAATTTACTTACTAATTCCTGCTCAACAGCCATCAGGGCTAGGCCACTATGCTTCTCTTGTCCGATGGTATGAAATAAGTATCTTTTAAGACGAGGAAGTGTAGAAAATAAATTTTCAGCACTCAGTGAGGTAATAGGCCAAGATAAAGCAGTATGTAACAGCTTGGAGATTGAAGGAATATTGTTGTAAAGACCATGTTGAATAAATAGATAACCCAAGTTGATGAAGTTGATGGAATCAGAATGTGAGACGAAGTTAAGCTTTGCATACTGCTGATAAAATCTAAGTTCAGGGATAATGTCTGTATCAAGGTTACAAAATTCTTGAACATATTTGGCTGTTGTTTCATTTAATGGCTCATTCCACTTCAGTAATAGCTGTGAAATTTGCTTCATTTTGCAATAATCAAACTCTGAAAAATATAACTTTAAATTGTGTAGTACAGTATCCAATCCTTGGTAATAAATACTAATTTTATACTGTTCGTCTGTTGAAGTAGAAAAAAGCATACTATCTGAATTGCCAGGATCTACAGTTTTTTGAATTTTTCTTCTTTTTTGAAGTGAAGGTTTTTCGACTTCAAAACCTTTACTGGTTACTTTTTTACGTATTTCCTCTGCTCCATCCCAGATTATTTTAAAAAATGCATCACTTCTTTCAGAGGTTAAACATTCCAAAACTGTTTCTATTTTTGAAGACAAAGAAAAAATGTCCATGGTTTCACTTTGCAGCTCTCTGGAAAGAATTCTTGTAACACTGAGGACTCGATAAAGAAATTTCAAACAAAAGATAAATTCAAATTTGGAAATCAATGTCAGCAAGTCGCTCAATTCACCAGCCAGACTTCTGTTAGAATGGCATGATATAAAGGCCAGTGTTTCAATAATCTCTGGAAGACCATCAATCACAGATAGTAACACATCATCATGAACTATGTAACATGTTTGTGACATATGTTTCTTGCATGTTTTATCTTGACCAAGTTTGCAAATGTTTTGAAACTTTGCGAACATTTCTCCAGATACATGAATAATGTTAAACAAAGAACTGAGAGTATTTAGAGCACCTCTAAGTTCTTTTATTTCCTTACAAAACCCAGTTACTGCAAACTCAAAAAAATGTGCATAACAATGCATGTATAAAGCTCTTGGCTCTTCCTTCTTGAATTCTGTAGCCATTTTATTAAATTTTAGCCTCAAATTAGTAGTACTTTCATAGGCCTGGCCAGATATTTTACTCAAGTCAACTCCAAGGTGCTGTAGGTATGTTTTGATATTCTTATGTAAGTGGGTCTCAGTCAGCTCTTCAATATCAACAAAACCCAGAAACCGTTCCTTAATTAAGACAGCCGTTGATGTTTTCTGTGCGTATCTTACACAAACTGAAAATTGTCCTTTAATGGAACTGCCAGTTGTCTCATCACATATTATTGAAAAAGCAGGAGAGACATTGATCTCATTCACAATATCCTGCAACATTTCAGTCTTTATTATTTCAATGATATCAATTTGTGTCTGTGTACTATTATAGAAGTCAACTTCTGAATTCCCAAGTTGAAACATTTCTTTTTTATCTTTCGTTCTCATTTCTAACAATTCTAAAAAATTGCCTTTATTTACAGGTGAAATAGACTGGCTATTTCCTCTTAGTGGTAAACACTGCTTTCCAAGAAATAAAATATTTTCAATTATAAGCTTTAGGTACTTTTTACGGCTATCTTCAATTTGTTTTGAATTATCATGGATAGCTTCATCACAAAGCTGGTATTGTCTCCAAAGTTGAACTGCTTTCAAATGTATTTCACTTTCTTCATGCTTCCTGAAATTTTCCAGAGGTCTTTTCAAATTACAAGCTCTTTGCGTTGCAAATGATTCTTCTCTACAGGTAAAATTTTTCTGGTAGAATAAATGGCAAAAATAACAAAATGGCACATCTTTTTTAATACTGTTCTCCAAATGCTGGAAATCCAAACGCCGGGATTTTTTAATACCTTGTGGTTTATCTTCAACTTTTTGTACTTTGGGTGTAAATTTTGGGTGACAGAGACCATCACTTCCTTTCACAGATTTCCCAGTGTATGTAGGACCCTGGCTGGAAACTTTGTCTATCTGCACTTCAGTACTGGAATCAACTGTATGCTGATTGAGTACTGATGAAGACGGTAAAAGGCTTGGCTGTTCCAAACTATTACCAACACCATCACTTGATTCATTGGGCGAGTTCTTACAGATCTTTGGAAAAAGGGATAAAACTTGCTTTTAAAATAAGCTTTCAAATTATCGAAACACTGAAAATCTGTATTCTAACACAGTAAAGTATATGAGAGCTTTCTTTAAGGCGAAACATTAACAATTAATTATCACTGACTTGTAATCTAGATCTAGATTCAGCATTAAATGTTTAAATGAGTACATGTCATAGTACATTATAGAAAAATAGTACTTACTCAGATGATTAGAACAGGTAGTTAAAACATAAGTACACTAAGAAGGATAGAAATATGACTATGTCTTTTCTGTGCATAATGTGCATAATGGTCCCGGGGCTTGAACTCAGGGCCTAGGCATTCACTGTCTCGGAGCTTATTTGCTCGAGGCTAGCACTCTACCACTTGAGTCATAGCTCTACTTCTGACTTTTTGGTAGTTAACTGGAGATAAGAGTCTCATGGATTTTCCTGCCCAGGCTGGCTGAACCTGGATTCATTCTATGACCTTGACCTCCTGAGAAGCTAGTATTTTTATATATGTACACATGTAATTTACTCATGAAAGTGAACAAAGCCAAAAATTTTAAGACTTACATCTGTGATCTCATTTGTCCCAACTGAAGAATCTGTACCTTCAAAACAAATTAAAGCATATATTAAAGATCTCATACTACAATCTATAAACTGCTGCATTTTTTGCCAGTCCTGGGGCTTGAAATCTGGGCCTGGGCGCTGTCCCTCAGCTCTTCAGCTCAAGGCTAGCACTTTACCACCTAAGCCACAGCACCACTTCCAGCCTTTTCTGCTTATGTGGTGCTGAGGAATCGAACCCAGGGCCTTATGCATACCAGGCACGCACTCTATCAATGAGCCACCTTCCCAGCCCTACAATTCATTCCTTATCAAAAAAGAACAGGAAAATTTATTATAGACACCTTCATAAAGTATGACAAAACAGTGTTTATGACAAATGTTTTCATTTCAACTTTACCTTCTAAGAGATCACTGTTCATGATGGGCTGGGAAACCTGAGTATCTGCTAATGACACTATGTTGCTTATAACTGGAATAGATTCTTTCTTTGGAGAAAGAGGATCTGTTGCAGCATCTTGCACCATGGCAACATCTTTTGTGATTAAAAACAAAAATATTTGTTAAAAACTAGGTAGAATCAATTGGAAAACACGTTAAAAATTAGACTGGGCTAGGGTATACCTCAGTGATTGGGCCCTTACTGTTTTTTTTTGTTTGGTTCGTCATAGGGCTTGAACTCTGGGCCTGGGCGCTGTCCCTGAGCTCTTCAGCTCAAGGCTAGTGTTCTACCACTTGATCCACAGCGACACTTATAAGTCTCACAGGGGCTTGGAAGATGACTCAGTGGTAGAGTGCTCGCTTTGAATGCATGAGGCCCTGGGTTCAATTCCTCAGCACCATATAAGCAGAAAAGGCCAAAAGTGATGCTATGGCTCAAGTGATCTAGTGCTAAGCCTTGAGCTGAAGAGCTCAGGGACAGCACCCAACCTAGAGTTCAAGGCCCACAATGGACAAAAAAAAAAAAAAAAAAGTCCCAAGTATTTTCCTGCCCGGGCTGGCTTTGAACCACAATCCTCAGATGTCAGCCTCCTGAATAGCTAGGACTACAAGCGTGAGCCACCAGCACCTGGCTCCCTTGCTTCTTATGAAACCTGTTATACGATCCCCAACACTGATTATTTTGTTTCAAAATAAACAATCTTAAGGTATTTAAAGGGTAAAATTTTTATTTGGGCTTAGAAACAGCAAGATTCCTTAATAAGTCAATAACATTAAATTGGTTAACTTTTGTCTTTGCACATAGTTTCTCAGTAGTTTTACACTATTTGGTAACATTTTCATAAACATCAACATTAAGGGAACTATTAATCACTAGGTTGTCTATATAGTAAGCACTGCTGACCCTTTATCAGGCTCTTTGACAGAACACCTACTTGGGACTAGAATTTGGTTCCTTTAGCTGCTATCATTGAATCTTGTACAGTAGTAAGAACTATAGTCATACTGGCTAAATTCTCAGTCCTTCATCATTGTTATTAAAATATTTCAAACTATACTACACTTTATATGAAAATCTAAATTAAAGTCTTGTTTTCACAAAGCAGAATAAGTATATACCTTTTTACCAAAACCATTCTTACTACAATGTATTGAAGAAGCTAAATGTTGACCAAGTGACTCCTAAAAACTAAGCCCTAAAATAGGTTGTTAATATATACTAGTGAAAACAAAACTGTACTAATGTATTTAGCTAAATATTTACGTAGGCTCGAGTTATGACTTCAAGTGTCTACTTATCGTATGAAGTACTAAGTTCAAACCCTAGTCCTTTTTTTGTTTTTTGTTTTTGTCAGTCATGGGGCCTGAACTCTGGGCCTGGGTGCTGTCCCTGAGCTCTTCAGCTCAAGGCTAGCACTCTACCACTTGAGCCACAATGCCAATTCCGGCTTTTTCTGCTTATGTGGTACTGAGGAATCAAACCCAGGGCCTCATGCATGCAAGGCAAGCACTCCACCACTGAGCCACCTTCCCAGCCCCAAACTCTAGCATTTCTAATGATAGAATAAAATGCATAAAAAAAAAAAATCTAAGCCAGGTGCTGGTGGCTCAGGCCTGTAATCCCAGCTACTCAAGAGGCTGAGGTCTGAGCAATGTCCATGAGACTCATATCTCCAATAAACTATTAAAACTTTTTAAGCTGGAAGTGGAGCTGTGGCTCAAAGTGATAATAATGCTAGCCTTAAGTACAAAAGCTCAGGGACACCACCCAGACCCTGAGTTCAAACCCCACAACTGGCACACACAAAAAAATTAAGACTATAGGCTGGAAAGGTGGCTTAGTGGTAGAGTACTTGCCTTGCATGCATGAGGCCCTGGGTTCAATTCCTTAGCACCACATATGCAGAAAAAGCCGGAAGTGGCACTGTGGTTCAAATGGTAGAGCACTAGCCTTGAGCTGAAGAGTTGAGGGACAGAGCCCAGGCCCAGAGTTCAGGCCCCATGACCGGACCCCCCCCCCAAAAAATAGAAGATATATGAATAAATTAGTGATACGTGTTTTTATGTTATTATTTAGACTATTTTTTGTCAGTCGTGGGGCCTGAACTCTGGGCCTGGGCACTATCCCTCAGCTCTTCAGCTTAAGGCTAGCGCTCTATGGGCTGGGAAGTTGGCTCAGTGGTAGAGCGCTTGCCTTGCATGCTCAAGGCCCTGGGTTCGATTCCTCAGCACCACATAAACAAAAAGAAAAAAGCCGGAAGTGGCGCTGTGGCTCAAGTGGTAGAGTGCTAGCCTTGAGCTGAAGAGCTGAGGGACAGCGCCCAGGCCCAGAGTTCAGGCCCCACGACCGGAAGAAAAAAAAAAGGCTAGCGCTCTACCACTTGAGCCACAGCACCACTTCCGGCTTTTTTCTTTTTGCTTATGTGGTGCTGAGTAATCGAATCCAGGGCCTCATGCATGCAAGGCAAGTGCTCTACCACTGAGCCACCTTCCCAGCCCCTCATATATCTTCTATTAAAATGAAATATGCGGAAGTGCGCTGTGGCTCAAGTGGTAGAGCACATGCCTTGAGATGAACAGCTGAGGGACAGCAACAAGACCCAGATTTCAAGCCCATGACCAAAAAAAAAAAAAAAGTAGATCTGATTGTGTTAATCTAATACAATTCTTAAATATAAGTATTTAATCTCTAGTGGCTTAATAACGTTTCTTTGACATAAAAGTCATTAGCACCAAATTTTACAGTTTCTAACTTTTTTGTACGGTACTGAGATTTTGAGCTAAACAGGTGTTCACTGCTTAAACACACCTCCAGTTCTTTTTTTTTTTTTTTTGGTCGATTGTGGGGCTTGAACTCTGGGTACTGTCCATCAGCTCTTCAGCTCAAGGCTAGCGCTCTACCACTTGAGCCACAGCACCATTTCCGACTTTTTCTGCTTATATGGTGCTGAGGAATCGAACCCAGGGCTTCATGCATGCAAGGCAAGCGCAAGCGCTCTACCACTGAGCCACCTTCCCAGCCCATCTCCAGTTCTTATTGTTCTGGTTTTGAGGGAATCTTACATTTTTTTTTTTTTGCTTAAACTACATAATTATTCTGTACCTTCTCAGCCATAGTCAAGATGACTGTGGGCTTGAACTGCATGCATTATGAATAGTTAAGTAAAACTGAAGTTAATAAATAAAACAATACCTGTAGAAGATTCCACCACAGTTTTGTGTGCAGATAAACAATTAAGAGAGCAGAATATCTCTGTCTCCCCGGAGTGATTAGTAATTTCAATTACTTCATAAGATGGTTTTGATGACACACAAAATGTTTTGGCTGGTTTCTGCTTAAGAGATTAAAAATGATACTCTTAAGTCCTGGCATGTAACAAACTCAAGTATAACTGAGGCCAAACAACACAATTAATAATTAACTAAATTTTACCCTTTTTGTGGAAGGTAAAGGAAATCTCCGTGGAGTTCAAACTCAGAGGCTTATTACATTTATGGGACAAGCTTTCTGCTTAGGCTTTTTTTTTTTTTGGTCAGTTGTGGGGGTTGAACTCTAGGCCTGGCCGCTGTCCCCCAGCTCTTTAGCTCAAGGATAGTGCTCTACCACTTGAGCCACAGTGCCACTTCCGGCTTTTTCTGCTTATGTGGTGCTGAGGAATCGAACCTAGGACCTCATGCATGCAAGGCAAGCACTCTACCACTGAGCCAACTTCCCAGCCTAGACTTTTTTTTTCTAAGTTTTTAAAACTATTTTTTTGGTGTAGGTCTTAGGATTTGAACTCAGGGCCAGCTGCTCTCATGTCTTTTTTCACTTAAGTCTAGCACTCTACCACTTGAGCCAGTATCATTTCTGCTTTTTTTGCTAGTTAATTGGAAAAAGTCCCATAGATTTTCCTGCTTGGGCTGGCTTGGAACTATGATTCTCACATCTCAGCCTCCCGAGTAGCTAGAATTATAGGCATGAGCCACCCAACATAGCTTTACTATGTACTATTTATGTCAAGATGGACCTGGGCCATCAAGCCTATTTATCCTTCCTAGGCAGATGTGATGACAGGCATACTCAACTCTTTGAGATGGAGATTTTCATTATTTTCTTGCCTATCCTGTCTAGCTTTTCCACTTTCAGATTTTTCATTGGGTCATTTTCTTTCTATAACCACTACAAGGAAAGCATGTCATCCTCTAGATGATCTTCAAAATAGGTCAAAGGAGTGAATTTACTGAATTCAAAATAGCATTTTTCTGTTTGGGGCTTACTAATAAACAGTGTATTATAATTATTCTTGCTGTCTATATTTTTTTGGCCAGTCCTAGGGTTTGAACTCTGGGCATTGTTCCTGAGCTTCTTTGTGCTCAAGGCTAGTGCTCTACCACATGAGCCACAGTGCCATTTCCAGCTTTCTCTGAGTAGTTTATTGGAGATGAAAGAGTCTCATAAAGTTTCCTGGCCCAGTTAGCTTCAAACTATGATTCTCAGCCTACTGAATAACAAGGATTAAAAGATTACAGGTATGAGCCACCAGCATCTGGCTTATACTTGCTTTTTTTTTTTTGGGGGGGGGGGGGGGTTGGTAGTGGGGCTTTAACTCTGGGCTTCGGAGCTGTCCCTGCACTCTTCAGCTAAAGGCGAGCACTATACCGCTTGAGCCACAGTGTCACTTTGGGTTTTCTAGTGGTTTATTGGAGATAAGAGTCTCATGGACTTTCCTGTCCGGGCTGGCTTTGAACCTCGATCCTCAGATCTCAGCCTCCTGAGTAGCTAGGATTACAGGAGTGAGCCACCAGCACTCGGCATACTTGCTTTTAACTGTAGTTTGTAATGGCTTCTTCCTTTAGGAAAACCAACTTACAGCATTTATCATCAATTCCTAGCTACAACTGTTGAGAAGAAAGTCTTCCAATTCAATCAGGTTACCAACTGAAAAATTTCCCCAATGGCACTAAAAACTGTACTCTCACATTTCCAAGTGAAGAAGCATTCACAGACTAATGAAAGAAAACTGGATCTTTCAACATACCTGCTGCTTATATGCTGAAATATTCTTCAAATTACTCAAGTTATGAGGCTGTCCTTCCATTTGAAACAGACGCAACAGACTAGAACTGGTATAACAATAAGCTCCACAGTTCTTACAACAGTTCATGATGAAATTGTTGACAGAGTGAAACTTTGAAAAGCAGGTGTTACTGCAAAGACTGTGTTTCATGCTCTGGTATTTTAGTTCATATTTAATCTAAGATTAAAGAAACATGATTAAAATTTTTTGGCAATTAATAATCAGAATCCTTGTAAATGTTAAAAATTATAACTTACAATAGCTGTCTTTTGACATATGCTGCACTTGGCCAAAATTCTATTAGTACACATGGTAACACATGGCTTTCTTTTTTCTTCATATGACGAAAAACAAGATTGGCTGCAGTAATTTTTGGCAGTAGTATTGTCTTCTATCTGGACAGTGATCACATCTTCTGGGTTTAAAATTTCTCTAAAAATAAAAGGATACCATTAAGCATTTTCACCATAGTTAACCCCCTGAAACTCTGCCTTGCTGTTTCACTGAGATAACAGTTAAAATCATCAGCCCTGAAAGAGAAAATTAAATTTAATATACAGTACTATCACTTCTATCAAGTAACTTTGGATAAAATACTCCTTAAAAAAATTTCCATACCTATCTGTAATAGGAATTATAAACATATTGGAATGTGCAGTTTCTTTTTTTTTTTTGGGTCCGGTCATGGGGTCTGAACTCTAGGCCTGGGCGCTGTCCCTCAGCTCTTCAGCTCAAGGCTAGTGCTCTACCACTTGAGCCACAGTGCCACTTCCGGCTTTTTGCTTATGTGGTGCTGAGGAATCAAACCCAGAACCTCTGGCATGCAAGGCAAGTGCTCTACCACTGAGCCACCTTCCCAGACCCTGGAATGTGCAGTTTCAAGGATAATGTAACTTTCTTTTTTTGGTCTTGGGGCCTGAACTCTGGGCCTGGGCGCTGTCTCTCTGCTCTTCAGTTCAAGACTAGTGCTCTACCACTTGAGCCACAGCACCACTTCCGGCTTTTTCTGCTTATGTGGTGCTGAGGAATCGAACCCAGGACCTCATGCAAGGCAAGCACCCTACCACTAAGCCACCTTCCCAGGCCCATAATCTAACTTTTACGAATTGTTGACGGTGATAACAAAAAAATAACGTACGTGTGTGTGTGCGTGTGCGTGTGTGTGTGTAGACGGGTACCAGGGTCTCATGCCTGTAAATCTGTAAATCCTAGTTATTCAGGAGGCTGAGATCTGAGGATCATGGTTCAAAGCCACTCCAGGCAAGAAAGTCCATGAAACTCTTATCTCCAATTAACCACCAGAAAACTGGAAGTGGCGCTGTGGCTCAAGCAGTACAGTGCTCGCCTTTAGCTGAAGAGCGCAGGGACAGGGCCCAAGCCCAGAGATCAAGCCCCATGACCGACCAAAAAAAAAAAAAAAAAAAAATATATATATATATATATAAAAGCCGGGTGCTGGTGGCTCACACCTGTAATCCTAGCTACTCAGGAGGCTGAGATCTGAGGATCATGGTTCAAAGCCAGCCCAGGCAGGAAAGTCCATAAGACTCTTATCTACAATCAACCACCGGAAGTAGCACATGGTTCAAGTGATGGAACACTTGCCTTGAGATGAAGAGTTCAGGGACAGGGCCCAGGTCCAGAGTTCAAGCCCCATGACCCAACAACAAAAAATACACTCCCCCCACCCCGCCCCCATCATCTGGAATCTATTTTTTTAAAAAGAACATTTCCAAGTATGGTTTGTAAATTCTAGGGAAGAAGTTATTTCACAAATACTCTGAGGACTCTAAGATCAAAATTACCAAAAATACTATTTAAGATGTTGCCTTACAGAAAATATTGACCTGTTAACTGATATACAAAGGCCAGAGGGGCCAGCCTTGTCAGGACATAGTCCAGAACAAAGAAAGGATAGACAATTGACCAAGAGGTTAAAAGATAATAACTTGCATCAAAATAGGTATCAGGGGCTAGGAATGTGGCCTAGTGGTAAACTGCTTGCCTAGCATGCATGAAGCCCTGAGTTTGATTCCTCAGTACCACATAAACAGAAAAAGTCAGAAGTGGCACTGTGGCTCAAGTGGTAGAGTGATAGCCTTGAGCAAATGAAGTTCAAGGACAGGGCGTGGGCCCTGAGTTCAAGCCCTAGGCTTGGCAAAACAAACAAAAAAAAGATGCAGGCCTGAGACATAGAAAGATGGGGGAGGAAGCATAATTGAGACAAAGTTCTGAGCTCCGTTCCCAGAGACTGCCTAAGTCTCAGCTTGTACAAGGAAATTCAGCCTCTGGCAATTCCATCATTTCAGAGATTGAGCTTGGGTGAACCTTGAACAAAGGACAAAAACCTCGGGCTCCAACACAAAGATTTCACCAGCCTAGGCTCACACTCAAGCCTGAAGCCTTACCTCTTGCTGGCCTGGGAGGAAGAGTTCAGCTGAGCCCTACAGGGAGCACCAGGAATCCAGAGTGGGACCAAAGAATGGGCAGTGCTCCAAACTAGAGTCCAGCCCTTGAGCTCAGCCCTCAGGGCTGAAACACCTACATACCAAAGGAGCATTCAAGAGTTGGCAGATTCTGCCAAAAAGATCAAATTACTCCTTATTGGGACAGATGAGGGAGAAGATTTCAAAACCAACCATTGAAAACAAAATTACAGAATTTACAGTATTTAACAAAATTACAGAAAACTTCCCCAATCTCAAATAAGAAGCTTACCTACTGACAGGAGGTATACAGACTCTTAGTATGACAGGACATGAGAATACCTCTAGACACATTACAGTGGAAAGCTTGGACTTAAAAAGAACAAGGAATTTGCCAGGCATTGGTGGCTCATGCCTGTAATCCTAGCTAGTCAGAAGGCTAAGATCTGAGGATCAAGGTTCAAAAGCCAGCCCCAGCAGGAAAGTCCATGAAACTTATCGCCAATAAACCTCCAGAAAAGAGGAAGCGGTGTTGCGGCTCAAGTGGTACAGCGCTAGCCTTGAGCTGAAGAGCTGAGGGACAGCGCCCTGGCCCAGAGTTCAAGCCCCACAACTGGCCCAAAGGGGAAAAAAAAAAAACCCCATCCAAAGCTAATAAACCAATCACTCTCAAATGGACAATGGGGCTAAGGAGAGACTTCTCAGAAGGAAAAGAATGAAAAGAAACATATGAGGAAATGCTCATCATCCCAGGCCATAAAGAAAGTACAAATTAGGACTGGTGCCCAAGGCTCACTCGTAATCCTAGTTACTCAGGAGGCTGAGACCTGAGGATCCTGGTTCAAAGCCAGCCCAAACAGAAAAGGTCATGAGACTCTTATCTCCAATTAACCACTGAGAAAACCAGAAGTGGTGATGGGAAGGTGGCTCAGTAGTAGAGTGCTTGTCTTGCATGCATGAAGCCTTAGGTTCAATTTCTCAGCACTACATATGCAGAAAAAGCCGGAAGTGGCTCAAGTGGTAGACCGCTAGCCTTGAGCTGAAGATCTGAGGGACAGTGCCCAGGCCTACAGTTCAGTCCCCACAACCAACCAAAAAAAAGTGTTGGGAAGTTGGCCCAGTGGTAGAGTACTTGCCTTGCATGCATGAAGCCCTGGGTTCCATTCCTCACCACCACATAAACAAAAAAAAAAAGCCAGAAATGGCACTGTGGCTCAAGTGGTAGGGCTCAAGCCTTGAGCTGAAGAGCTGAGGGATAGCCCCAGGCCAAAAAAGAAAAAGAAAACCAAAAGTAGCAGTTGCTCAAGTGATAGAATGCCAGCCTGGAGTTGAAGAGCTGAGGGACAGCACCCAGGCTCAGAGTTCAAGTCCTATGACTGACCAAAAAAAAAAAAAAAAAGAAGCAAATCAAAACAATTCTTGAGTTTTGTTTTTTTGTTTTTTTTTTGGGGGGGGGGGGGGGGTCCAGTTGTGGGGCCTAAACTCTGTCCCTTAACTCTTCAGCTCAAGGCTAGCACTCTACCACTTGAGCCACAGCACCACTTCCGGCTTTTTTCTTTTTTTTGCTTATGTGGTGCTAAGGAATCGAACCCAGGGCCTCATACATGCAAGGCAAGTGCTCTACCACTGAGCCACCTTCCCAGTCCCAAGATTTTTTTTTTCTGCTCAAGGCTAGCACTTTACCACTTGAGCTACAGAGCCACTTTACCACTTCCGATTTTCTGGTGGTTAATTGAAGAGTCTCATGCACTTTACTGCCTGGACTGGCTTTGAACCGCAATCCTCAGATCTCAGCCTCCTAAGTAGCTAAGATTACAGGCATGAGCCACCGACTCTAATCCCCCAACGGGTAAATTCCAACAACAAATGTTGGCAAGATGTGGGGAAAAAGGAACCCTATTGGAAGTGGTGCTGTAGCTCAAGTGTTAGTGCGCTAGCCTTGAGCTGAAGAGCTCAGGGACAGCGCCCAGGCCCAGAGTTCAGGCTCTACAACTGACCAAAAAAAGAGAGAAACATAAATTGTAAGAAATGTAATCTTGAAAGACATATTAACATAATACAGGCTTATTTTTGTGGCAGATGTGACAGTGCAAACAGAACAATCATACCAATAATCTCATTTATAGGGAATTTTGATTAGAGTAGGAACATAAACTTTGGAAATCACATTAAAAAACAAACAGGATTCCTTCTGTGTTGTCTACAAGCCTCTTAATAATAAGCCAAAGGTGCTTCTAAGTAACACAACTTCAGAAAAAATGGAAATACAGAATATTGTAACCAAGACTTTAAGCAAAGGTATGTAATGAAATAAAAACAATTTAAAATTACATACTTTGAGCAGTTTGAGCAAGTTCTCTTGGTAGGAAGTGAAGAATTGGCAGATGTAATGTATTCAGTGATGCATAATGTAGAACAGAAAAGCTGAGTAGAACCTTTCCTCTGATAGGCAGTTTGCCCCATCTGGAGGATTTTTTTACAACCAGAGCAGGAAGCTTGAATAGCTGTGGTTGAAAAAGCAAAATTTTAATTATGCTAGAGAAACCTTATAGCTTAGTTAACTGTGAAGGTATTAAAAGTGCAAGAAGGGCTGGGAAGGTGGCTCAGTGGTAGAGTGCTTGCCTCGCATGCATGAGGCCCTAGGTTTGGTTCCTCAGCACCACATAAGAAAAAAGCCGGAAGTGGCGCTGTGGCTCAAGTGATAGAGAGCTAGCCTTGAGCTGAAGAGCTGAGGGACAGCGCCCAGGCCCAGAGTTCAGGCCCCATAACCGGACCCAAATAAATAAATAAATAAATGTGCAAGAAATTTGTATTTTCATCTTATAGCTAAGCATTGCTTCATTTTCTTGTTTTTTTTTGGGGAGACCACTACTAGGGCTTGAACTCAGGGCATGGGTACTGTCCATTAGCATTTCTGCTCAAAGCTGATGCTCTATCATTGATCCATACCTCCACTTGTAATTTTTTTGCTGGGATTGGATGGACAAAATAATCTCATAGATTTCCTAAGCCAGCTGATTCTAAAACAGGATTCAGCTTTCTGAGTAACTAGGATTACAGGTATAAACCATAGAATCTGGCTAACAGATGCTTTTAAAATGCAGAACATGTTGGGTGCTGTTAGCTCAGGCCTTTAATCCTAGCTACGCATGAAGCAGAGACCTGAGGATGATAGTCAAAGTCAGCCCATGACACACCGATCTCCAATTAACTACCCTAAAAGCCAGAAGTCCAAATATGGCTCAAATGGTAGAGCCTTAGCCTGGAGCAAAAAATCTCAAGGACAGCACCCAGGCCCTGAGTTCAAGCTGCAAAACTAGTATATACACATGCAAAATGTAACAAAACAAAACAAAAAGCCGGGAGCTGGTGGCTCCTAGCTACTCAGGAGGCTGAGATCTGAGGATCGAGGTTCAAAGCCAGTCCGTGAGACTCTTATCTGCAATATTAACCACTAGAAAACGGGAAGTGGCGCTGTAGCTCAAGTGGTAGAGCGCTCCTCCCCTTGAGCTGAAGAGCACAGGGATAGAGCTCAGGCCCTGAGTTCAAGCGCCACAACCAACAAAAAAAAAAAAAAAAAAGCCTATCCTATTGATAAGCCTATAACAATGTTATTACCATTGTCCGAAAATGTAGTGTTTTTCAGTTCACTCTCCTGAGTTTTGGGGTGGTGGGCTTGACAAGATTCCTAAAAGAAATTAAAAAGTGATTAATGTAGTGTATGAGTCATTCCATTGAAAGTGATAAATGCAATTATTCCATAAACTGTACAACTGAATGAACTAAGCCATGTTACCATTTCCTTATGTCCTGTGTCTGATTACACCAATTTTGCACATTTACCAAAATGTGACTTTAGATCTTTATCAAGTTACTTTATGTCAGAAAGGACAAATCTAGTCATTTAATTGGCTTCATTTTATGCCAGTTCCAGGGTTTGAACTCAGGTCTTTGGGTGGTGTCCCTTAGCTTTTCTGCCGAAGGCTTGCAATCTACTACTTGAGCCACAGCTCCACTTCAGCTTTTTCTGGTAGTTAATTAGAGTCTCCTGGAATTTTCTGCTTAGCCTAGCTTTAAACCACAATCCTCATGTCTCAGCCTCCTATGTAACTAGGATTATAGGTTTAAACCCCAGACACCTAGCAAATTAGCTTTATATTTCTGAGGGAAAAAAGAAGCAAGACAGCCAGGCCAAACCCACCATCTTGTGGTCACTGCCCAAGAGTGGGTCTTGCCTGTAACAAATACACCAGTCATGATCAGACAAACTTCCTGAAGGGAGCTGAGGAAGGGTATAATGAGTAACCTAAATCAGTTTTCTGGTCCTGAGACCACTCATTTTTCTGATGGGTCTTTACATGATGTTTGTTAAATAAACTATGTTAGCTTACTATATAAGCTCTGCTCCACTGCTGGTTTTATTTTTTATTTATTTTTCCACTGCTGGTTTTATTCCTATACTGCTAGACACAAAAACATTCCACACTCATACACTGTTTAATTCTAGAATTGGGTACATTTTATTCCATGAAAGTATTTCAATGAGTAAAAAAGAGGTTGGGTTTATAGACAGAGAAGGGTTAAAGAATGAACAAGCTGGGCACTGGTAGCTCAAGCCTGTAATCCTAGCTACTCAGGAGGCTTAGATCTGAGGATTATGGTTCAAAGCTAGCCCCGGTAGGAAAGTCTGTGATACTCTCAATCTCCAATAAACCACTCAGAAAACCAGAAATGGTGCTCTTGCTCAAGAGGTAGAGTGCTCCTCTTCAGCTGAAGAGCTGAAGGATTGGGCTCAGGCCTACTTCAAGCCCCACCACCAACCAAAAAAATGAACAAGGAGGAGTAGCTCAAGTGGTAGATTACCAGTCTTAAGTGGAAAAAGCCACTTAAGAGCTGAAGCAAAGCCGGGCGCTGGTGGCTCACGCCTGTAATCCTAGCTACTCAGGAGGCTGAGATCTGAGGATCGCGGTTCAAAACCAGCCCGGGCAGGAGAGACCGTGAGACTCCTATCTCCAATAAACCACCAGAAAACCGGAAGTGGCGCTGTAGCTCAAGTGGTAGAGCGCTCGCCTTGAGCTGAAGGACAGCGCCCAAGCCCAGAGTTCAAGCCCCACGACCGACCAAAAAAAAAAAAAAAAGAGCTGAAGCAAAGTTCAAGCCCTAGTACTGGCACAAAAATCAAGCAATCCAAAACAAAAACAAACAAATGAATAATCATCAATATTACTTTCCTTGTAAAGTGCACACCAAACAAAAATAACTGATGAGTTAACATCAAGTTATATTTATTTGAGCATAGAAGCTTGCTACATAGCTAATACTGGCCTCATCCTCCTACATTACCCTTAATAGGTGGGATTACAAATGTGCTAATCATATCTCCCCATTTCAAGTTACCTTTTGCTGTATAGATTAAGTAAAGAGAAATTTGCTATCATGCTAATTGGACCTGGCCTATTTGGGTGAAATTTGACCTGTTTTCCATCTAATCCAATTTCTGAGGTGGTCAGATAAAGTTTTTTTTTTGTGACTATTTTTAATTTTAGTCTGGTTTGTTGGGGCCAAGTGTTGTAAATTAGGAATAAAAAAAAAAAAACAGTCTCTTGACTTAACAAATGCCAGTATTGATAGAAGAAATACTTATTTTTACTACTTGTTCTAATCAAAAACAACTAATTGCTATTTAGTTGGGTGTGATGATTCCAGAACTGGGCAAGAGTATCAGTTCAAAAACACCTGGGGGGGGCTGGGAAGGTGGCTCGGTGGTAGAGTGCCTGCCTTGCATGCATGAGGCCCTGGGTTCGATTCCTCAGCACCACATATGCAAAAAAGAAAAAAGCCGCAAGTGGCGCTGTGGCTCAAGTGGTAGAGCGCTGGCCTTGAGCTGAAGAGCTGAAGGACAGTGCCCAGGCCCAGAGTTTAGGCCCCAGGACTGGACCCAAAAAACAAAAAAAACACCTGGGGCTACACAAAGGAAAAAAGGCAAGGGGGGGAAAAAAAGCCTTGCCAGGCGCCGGTGGCTCATGCCTATAATCCTAGCTACTCAGGAGGCTGAGATCTGAGGATCAGTTCAAAGCCAGCCTGTGCAGGAAGCTCCATAAGACACTTATCTCCAATAAACCACCAGAAAACCGGAAGTGGCGCTGTGGCTCAAGCGGTAGAGCGCTCGCCTTGAGCTGAAGAGCACAGGGACAGCACCCAAGCCCAGAGTTCAAGCCCCACGACCAACAACAAAAAAAAAAAGGCCTTAGTTCAGAATTGCTGGATTGTGCTACATGATTCAGTAGGTAATTTCATGGCAACTAAGTCTAAATTTGATGTATATTTGAATGTAAGTTAATTGCTAGATACACAGTATTCACCAGTGTTTTCAAATCAATGGGAATCACGCTACTTTATATTGATCTACTGTGAATCACACACACAAAATAAGAGATGGGGATCTATGTTGTTTAGTCTGGTACAGAACTTCTGGGCTCAAGCCTGTTTCTCATCCTCCCCAATAGTTAATTGCCAGTACATGCCACTGCTTCTGGTTTAACCTCAGTAGAAATAGCTCAGTTTACTTTTAACAAGTTCTTTTTTTTTTTCTTTTTTTTGTCAGTCGTGGGGCTTGAACTCTGGGCCTGGGCGCTGTCCCTCAGCTCTTCAGCTCAAGGCGAGCGCTCTACCACTTGAGCTACAGCGCCACTTCCGGTTTTCTGGTGGTTTATTGGAGATAGGAGTCTCACGGTCTCTCCTGCCCCGGCTGGCTTTGAACCGCGATCCTCAGATCTCAGCCTCCTGAGTAGCTAGGTTTTACAGGAGTGAGCCACCAGCGCCCGGCAGAAGTATTTTTTTTTTTTTTGTCGGTTGTGGGGCTTGAACTCTGGGCCTGGGCGCTGTCCCTCAGCTCTTCAGCTCAAGGCAAGCGCTCTACCACTTGAGCTACAGCGCCACTTCCTAACAAGTTCTTTAGTTTGTGCTATATCTAAAGAATCAAAACTTAATTAACATGTTGAATTAAAATCCCTTTGTAAAACTACTTCAAGATAATAAAAAGGGGAGGGGGGCTGGGAAGGTGGCTCAGTGATAGAGTGCTTGCCTTGCATGCATGAGGCCCTGGGTTCGATTCCTCATCATATAAGCAGAAAAAGCCGAAGTGGCCCTGTGGTAGAAGGCTAGCCTTAAGCTGAAGAACTGAGGGCCAGTACCCAGGTCCAGAGTTCAGGCCCCAGGACCAACAATAAATAAATAAATAAATAATCAAAACTTGTAAAGGCCAAATTCACAGGGAACTGTTGGCCCATACCTGTAACCCTAGCTACTCAGGAGGCTGAGATCTGATGATCTTGGTTCAAAGCCAGCCCCCTGGGATTATCCAAGAGGCTCATCTTCAATTAATCACCAGAGAAGGAAGTAGAGCTGTGACTCAAAGTGGTAGAGGATTAACATTGAGCCAAAAAGCTCAGGGACACCGTCCAGGACTAGTTCAAGTCCCATGACCAACCTCCTCCCCTCCAAATAAAACACCCTAAAGCTGGGTGCCAGTGGTTCACGCCTGTAATCCTAGCTACTCTGGAGGCTGAAATCTGAGGCAGCCCAGGCAGGAAAGTCCTTGAGACTCTTATCTCCAATAGACCATTAGAAAACTGGAAGTGGTACAGTAGCTCAAGCGGTAGAGCTCACCTTGAGCTGAAGAGCCGAGGGATAGCGCCCAAGCCAAGTTCAGACCCCACAACCGACAAAACAAAAACAGAACACTCTAAAATCTATACCCAATTCTAGAGGGGACCTAACTTGGATAAAAAGAATCAAGAAAAAGAATATTAAGAGTTTAAACAGTAACTAGGCAGTCTGGGAAGGTGGCTCAGTGGTGGAGTACTTGCCTTGCATGCATGAGGCCCTGGGTTCCATCCTTCAGCCTCACATAAGCAGAAAAAGCCACCAGTGGTGCTATGGCTTGAGTGGTAGAGCACTAGCCTTGAGCTGAAGAGGTGAGGGACAGTGCCCAGGCCCAGAGTTCAGGCCCCTTGACCAGCCAAAATAAAAACAACAGTAACTAGGCCACACCTGTAATCCTAGTTATACTCAGGAGAATGAAATCTGAGGACAGTTGTTTGAAGACAGCCCAAGGAGGAAATTCTTATCTCCAATCAACCACCAAAAGCTGGAAGTAGAGGTGTGGCTCAAGTGGCAGAGTGGTAACCTAGAGCCCAAAAAGCTCAGGGACAGTGCCTAGGCACCGAGTTCAAGCCCCAAAATTGGTAAAAAAAAAAAAAAAAAAAAGTAGGGCTGGGAAGATGGCTCAGTGGTAGAGCAGCTGCCTTGCATGCCTGAGGCCCTGGGTTCAATTCCTCAGCACCACATAAGCAAAAAGAAAAAAGCCGGAAGTGGCGCTGTGACTCAAGTGGTAGAGCACTAGCCTTGAGCTGAAGAGCTGAGGGACAGCGCCCAGGCCCAGAGTTCAGGCCCCACGACCGGACCGTCCCCCCCCCCCAAAAGTAAATACTCATCTACTTAATAGAGGCAGTAACAAAAATTATAGTATACAAGATTCAAAAGGAACACACAATTTAAAGACTATTGTAATTCTGTGCATCAACTGAGTAGCCTAAGGAGTGCAAAATTTTAAAATTTTTATATACCACGCCTGGTCAAAACCATATGTATTAAATTCATAAACAAGGTGCACTTGCTGTAGTTAGCTGTATTTCAAGTTATAAATAATTGTCAACTCTATAATATCTATTAACATTAACCAATCATTTCATTTACCAAACATTCTCTTCCATCCAATAACTTCCTTACAGACACTGGGCACTTAAAAATATACCTGGAAGGCACCATAGTGTATACCTAAAATCCAAGGCATTAGCATCAGGAAGAAAAGTGTGAAGCCAGGGTCTCACTACCCTGTGTCAAAAAACAAACTAAACCAACATATACCTTGTAGTGGGATGGGATGTGTCTGTGGAGATAAGGATTTATGTTTTTTAACCAATAAATTATTTTGTAACTAAATGGGTAATGAAGTGTTATAAGGTTAAGTATTTACCTGAGCATTGCTGCTTTCTGTCTCAATTTTATCTAGCTGCTCCAGCTGTAGTGCCATTGCTTTGTCACACTCATCTTCCAGTGGAGGTTCTTTCATTTTAGTATCTGATGCAAAGTAATACTCCAGTTGCAAATTAATGATCTTCTTTCTGCAAAGTTCCCGAGTTCCTAGAACACTGGTGAACAAATTTACTTTTTTTTGTGCTGGTCCTGGGGCTTAAACTGAAGGCCTGGACACTTCTCCCTGAGGTTCTGTGCTCAAGGATACACTTTCTTTTTTTTTAAAACAGTTCTGGGCTTGAACTCAGCCTGGGCACTGTACCTGAGCTGATTTTGCTCAAGGCTGCACTATACCACTTGAGCCACAGCACCACTTCTGGCTTTTCTCCTGATGTGGTACTGAGGAATAGAATCCAGGGCTTCATGCATGTTGGGTAAGCACTCTACTACTAAGCCACATTCCCAGCCCTCAAGGGTACACTATTTTGATAGGCAATGGGAGAGTCTGACCAGACTGGCTTCAAACCTCAATCCTCAGATCTAAGCATTCTGAGTAGGATTACAGGCACGCATGAGCCACAGGCGCAGTTTCAACTTAAGGACAGTGCTCTACCATTTGAACTACACCTCTTCTCAACTTTTTACTGGTTCATTAGAGAAAACCCTCAGACTTTTCTGCCTGACTTGCTACCTTGATCTTTAGATCTCTGCCTCTTGAGCAGCCACTGGCGCCCTCATTATGCTTTTTTTTGGTCGGTTGTAGGGCTTGAACTGTGGGCTTGGGCACTGTCCCTGCACTCTTCAGCTCAAGGCAAGCACTCTACCCCTTGAGCCACAGCACCACTTCCGGTTTTCTGGTGGTTTATTGGAGGTCAGAGTCTCACAGACTTTTCTGCCTGGGCTGGCTTTTAACTGTGATCCTCTGATCTCAGTCTCCGGAGTAGCTAGGATTACAGGCGTGAGACAGCCACCAGTGCCCAGCTCTTGCTCACACACACCCACTGTATTTTATATGTGTGTATACATATAATAGTGTATATGTGTACGTATATGTGCCTGGTACTGGGATTACCCGTGTGAACTACCATGCAAATTCATTCTCACCTCCATGTTTGAAGAAAACAAAAAACAAAACAAAAAATACCACTGCTTCCTGACTCTGGTGTTACCAAGTAAATGCTTTACAAACACACCCCCTTCCCAATCAAAGGCAGCCCAGTTACGACGCAGGAATAACTTGAGTCCACACCAGCTGGAGGGAGTGGGGAAGCTGTGACAAATCCAAGACCCCTCCCCCACCCCGCTTCACTTTTGAAACTCCAAACTGCTTTGGAGTCTGAGACCCAGAGGATGGCGTTATGTTGTGAGACCAGGTAGAAAAGCCCGCGAGGCTCCATTTCCAATTAACCAACAAAATGCTGGACTGGAAGTATTGCTCAAGAGAAGAGCCCCAGCGGTAGGCCAGCGAGTCCGATTTCAAACTCCAGAAACGACGAGGAAATAACTTCCCCCTCCCCCAGGCTGACTGGAGGCGCCAAGCAACCGAGGCCGGACCTCCCGCGGCGCTAGCGCGGCCAAAGAACCAGAACCGGTACTCAGGACTCGGTTTCTAGAAGCTCCACCCCACCCGGCACTTGAGCCTCTCTTCTAGAGAAGATACCCGGTCTCTGCCCCTCCCGGTAACGCGCCCAAGAGAAAAAAAAAAAGAAAAGAAAAAAAAAAGGGGGGGGTGTGGGGAGCTGCGTAAACCTTACTGACTCTTCTCCGGGACGCTCGCCAAAAGGGAAAGGCTCCAAACTTCTTCGGCTTGGAACCGCCCTAGAGGCCCGCCCCTTTCCCACCGTCCTTTGCGACGGAGCATGCGCACAAAGCAGCAGACCTGGAGCGACGCCGCCTCCCTAAGTTGTGATAGGCTAGGAGGTGCAAGAGGGGGCGGAAAAGAGGCGTGATTGACGTGGTCTGGAATTGCCCGCCAACTTTGAGTCCGGCAAGGAAAGTGCCGAGTCACCGTGACTCAGCATTTCTGGCTGGCTGAAGTGGGAGGGGGGCAGGATTGAGGCTTTCAGCGGGGAAGGCCCACAAGATTGACATGAGTCTGGAGTTGCCCACCGAGGTTAACTCCAGCAAGGAAAAAAAAAAAAAAAAAATGCCGAGCCATCGTGACTCAGCACTTTTGCTGGTCAACCCGATTTCACGGATTTAAGAGGTGTGTCCAGTACTGACTAGATAGTCCCAGGACGCGGCAGACTAGGACCTTCTTCCGTTTGGGCGCCTTTTTTTTTTCTTTTGCCAGTTCTGGAACTTGAAGTCAGGGCCTTGCATTGCCTTTGAGCCTCTCAGTGCTCCAGGCGAGCGCTCTACCACTCCAGCCACAGCGCCACTTCTGGCTTTTTTCTTTTTGCTTATGTGGTACTGAGGAATCGAACCCAGGGCTTCATGCATGGTAGGCAAGCACTCTACCACTGAACCACATTCCCAGCCCCATTGGGCACCTTTTGAATACAGTAAAAGAGTCCTAAAAGTATGTGGCCAAAAAAAATTACAGTATATTTAAAATGCTCATGTTTAATACATTGAGACTTTTCGCATCCACAGAAAAGGAGCAAAGAAAGAGCATATAAAGACGTGATATTTTTCAAATCACAATAGGATTACAAAAATAGGGGGTAAAAGCATCTTACTTCAGTCTTGCTTTTCACCGTATCTTTTTTCCTTTGTTTCTTTTTCCACTTCTTTGGATGGAAAGACTTAATTTCAGAAGCTAAATTTCAGGACAGAAGATATACGTTTGTTCTACCATGAGTGATGCAAAGCACTCCCCACTCTCTAATCTAAAATAATAAATTTGAGGCCCTTTGTGAAGATGAAGTCCAGACCAAAAGGTGTTTCAGAAACATTATTTTTATTATTTTGTCAGTCAAGAGGTCTGAGTGCTGTCCCTCAGCTCTTCAGCTCGAGACTCACATTCTACCCCCTGAACCACAGCGCCACTTCTGGTTTTCTGGTGGTTTATTGGAGATAAGAGTCTCATGGACTTTCCTGCGGTGGCTGGCTTTAAACCACAATCCTCAGATCTCAGCCTCCTGTGTAGTTAGGATTATAGGGGTGAACCTGGCTTTTTCTTTTGAATTTTAATTACACCTTTTTGTACTTCATTCTATAGAGGACAGTCCAGTTTATCTGTCATTTTGCATTAAGAAATGGGACAACAGGGGGCTATGAATGTGGTTTAGTGGTAGAGTGCTTGCTTAGCATGCATGAAGCCCTGGAATGGCACTGTGGTAGCTGAAGTGGTATAATGCTAACCCTTTTTTTTTTTTTTTTTGCCAGTTCTGGGGCTTGAACTCAGGTCCTGGGTACTGTCCCTAAGCTGCTTTTGCTCAAGACTAGCACTCTACCAGTTGAGCCACAGCACCACTTCCAGCTTTGTCTCTTTATGTGGTGCTTAGGAATAGAAACAAGCACTATACCACTAATCCACAGTCTTAGCCTCATGACTTTCTAATATTTATAATGATCTATTTGAACTATTAGAAATAGAAGGTTATTCACTGAAGTAATCTCTCCTCTTGCAACCGCTTTATTATCAGGGAAGTTTAAGAGAACAAAAGGTAATTTACTCAGATCCACAAAGTGATTTGGTGATTGGGATTAAACTAGAGCCCAGTAATGAGTGCTGGATCAATGGACTTCCAAAGGCAAGTTATGTCTTTATCACTAACTTCCTAGGGAGTTGATAAAGGAGGATTTATGATCTTCTAAGAATTGTAAATATCTGTAATACTTTTGAGATGTGTTGATATTTCCACTTTACTAAGAGCTAAAATTCAGCCAAAAGTTTCATCCAGTAGACAGAGGTTACAAGTTGCCTGTGTCTTTCTTGCTCAGAAGATTCAATGACTTCAACTCACACAGAAAAGGTTTACTTTCTTGTTCAGAAGCTGAGAGACTAAGTCCTAAATTAAGGAACATAAGGTGGATTATTGAAGGTAGTTGATTTACTTCAATTCTATTTTCCATATGTCAGCTTGAGAAAAATGAGCTGGATGGCTTAGGAAATAACCTTGGAAAGCTAATAAGATGGACCCTTGGAGGCATTTCCAGAAAGATGTATTTGGGATTTGCAGTATCTGCCATGCATCGGACTTTTTGCTACACTAGTAGGTTAGATTTTTTAAAAAGGACAGAAGAGTTTGAGATTGTTGTTTGTTAGGCGATCACATGCTTGGTCTAAAGGGGTAGTTGTTACATAACTCTCATCATTGCCATTCATAAATGAACAGTCTAGGGCTGGGAACGTGGCTCAGTAGTAGAGCGCTTGCCTGGCATGCTTGAGGCCCTGGGTGTGATTCCTCAGCACCACATAAGCAGAAGGAAAAAAAAGCCGGAAGTGGCACTGTGGCTCAAGTGGTAGAGTGCTAGCCTTAAGCTTCAGCTGAGGGACAGCACCCAGGCCCAGAGTTCAGGCCCCACAACCGGACGAAAAAAAAACACTCAACAAAAAACGAATGAACTGTCTAGTGATACCTAAACTGCTAATTCTCAAGATAAACTAGGAATCCATATTTTCATGTGAATTTGACTATTTAAAAACAAAACAAAAGCCGGGCGCTGGTGGCTCACGCCTGTAATCCTAGCTACTCAGGAGGCTGAGATCTGAGGATCTCGGTTCAAAGCCAGCCCGGGCAGGAGAGACCCTGAGACTCCTATCTCCAATAAACCACCAGAAAACCGGAAGTGGCGCTGTAGCTCAAGTGGTAGAGCGCTCGCCTTGAGCTGAAGAGCTGAGGGACAGCGCCCAGGCCCAGAGTTCAAGCCCCACGACCGACAAAAAAAAAAAAAAAAACAAAACAAAAGCTGGATGCCAGTGGCTCACGTGTGTAATCTTAGCTACTCAGGGGGCTGAGATCTGAGAATTGTGGTTCAAAGCCAGCCCAAGCAGAAAAAGCTATGAGACTCTTATCTCCAATTAACCACCAGAAAACTGAAGTGGCACTATGGCTCAAAGTGTAGAGCATGGGCTGGGAAGGTGGCTCAGTGGTAGAGTGCTTACCTTGCATGCATGAGGCCCTGGGTTCAATTCCTCAGCACCACATAAGCAGAAAAAGACAGAAGTAGCTGCTGTGGCTCAAGTGGTAGAGTGCTAACCTTGAGCCGAAGAGCTGAGAGACAGCACCCAAGCCCAGAGTTCAGGCCCCACAACTGAAGGAAAAAAAAAGTGGTAGAGTGCTAGCCTTGAGGGAAAGAGCTCAGGGACAGTGCTCAGTCCCTGAGTTTAAGCCCATGAGCAACAAAAGGAAACTGGCTTGAATTCAGGGCCTCTTGCTTTCATTAGGCCTTTTTTGCTCACAGATGTTACTATACCATTTGAGCCATACCTCCAGTCTAGTCTCTCTCTCTCTTGCTAAACGTTTTTTCTACCCAGGCTTCTCTTGAATTGTGATCCTCAGCTCTCAACTTCCTGAGTAGTTAAGGACTACAGGTGTTAGCAATTCACAGCTAGCTTTTTTTTTTTTTTTTCTTGTCCTGGGGGTTGAACTCAGGGCCTATGCTGTGTCCCTTAGCTTCTTTTTGTTCATGTAGTGCTCCACCACTTGAGCCATAGTGCTACTTCTGGCTTTTTATGAGTTTTTTTTATTTTTTGAGATAAGAGTTTCACAGACTTTCCTTTCCTGGCTTCAAACTGTGATCCTCAGACCTCAGCCTCCTGACTAGCTAGAATTAAGGTATGAGCCATCAGTGCCAGGCAGCACCTGGCTTTTTGAAAAGTTGGGAACAGATAAGCTAGGGGTATAGTTCAATGGCATAGAGGTTGCCTAGCATGTTCAAGGCCTTGACTTTCATCCTATTGTAAGGTAACTTATCAGAGAAGCCATACTTTGGTAGATAGATTTTTGTAGTCTTTATTATACAGCAGGCTGTGGTGGGAAAATGGAGGAGAACAGAAAAGGAATAGCCTGGACTCAATCAGTAGGCAAGAACTGTTTATTGAAGTGAGAGCCACAGACCCTCTCACTAGATTGGAGGTTGTATAAAGGACTGGATTTTAGGGTGGGCTTATATAAGGCTTAACAAGAAAGCAGAGAATAAAAAATGGGCTATGATCTCCTTGAGACCAAGAACAATGTCCCTGGCTAAGCCCACAATAGAATTCTGGGGTATGGGGGCTATTGGCTTCTGGGGTCAAGGTGGGAATGACCTGCCTTTGGACAAGCATGTGAGCAAGCAACTGGTGCTTTGCTTGACCCTGGAGAATAAGGTAGGACTCAATCCTTCAGGCTGCATGCAGCCAGTTATTACAAAGGCCTGCAGCCCCCACATACACATAACACAGCTTGGAAACAGGCCAGAGAGGAAAGAAAGAACAAAAACAATACCAACAAACCAATTAAGCACCGATGGAGAGCGGAATTGGAATGCCATGATTACCAGAGAAGACACAGGAGACAGGATACAACCCAGAGACACACCTTGCATGGCATCCTTGCTGTTCCAGGCCTAAATAGGGTCGGGCCAGGGGGGCATGGTCACAGGACACTTCCAGTCACAGGCACTGAACTGACAATTTCAGCAACCTACTAGCCAAGTGCTGCCCCATTCTGCCCAGATCCAGGTATGCCTATCACCTGAGGGGGCTGGAGGGCTTACCCTCCCCTACCAAGAAAACAAGATAACATCTGCATTTCTCTGAACCTGAGCCCTCATAGCTCACCTTGAGGGAGGCATCTGCATTTCAAAGAATGGGTTGTCTCACCTCTAGGCCTTGGAGCTCGGTAGACAGGTCCCCATCTCTGGCCTAGGCACCAGGATGTCTG